TCACCCCGCCCCATTCTCCCGCTTTCCATCACTTAGCCCCATTCTCCCACTTTCCATCACCCCGCCCCATTTTTCCGCTTTCCATCACCCCGCCCCATTCTCCCGCTTTCCATCACCCTGCCCCAATCTCCCGCTTTCCATCACCCCGCCCCATTCTCCCTCCTTCCATCACCCCGCCCCATTCTCCCGCTTTCCATCACCCCGCCCCATTCTCCCGCTTTCCATCACCCAGCCCCATTCTCCCGCTTTCCATCACCCCGCCCCATTCTCCCGCTTTCCATCACCCCGCCCCATTCTCCCTCCTTCCATCACCCCGCCACATTCTCCCGCTTTCCATCACCCCGCCCCATTCTCCCGCTTCCCATAACCCCACCCCATTCTCCCGCTTTCCATCACCCCACCACAATTTCCTGCTTTCTATCACCCCGCCCCATTCTCCCTCCTTCCATCACCCCGCCCCATTCTCCCGCTTTCCATCACCCCGCCCCATTCTCCCGGTTTCCGTCACCCCGCCTCATTCTCCCGCTTTCCATCACCCCGCCCCATTTTCCCGATTTCCATCACCCCGCCCCATTCTTCCGCTTTCCATCACCCCGCCCCATTTTCCCGCTTTCCATCACCCCTCCCCATTCTCCCTCCTTCCATCACCCCGCCCCATTCTCTCGCTTTCCATCACCCCGCCCCATTCCCGCTTTCCATCACCCCGCCCAATTCTCCCGCTTTCCATCACTCCGCCCCATTATCCCTCCTTCCATCACCCCACCCCATTCTCCCTCCTTCCATCACCCCGCCCCATTCTCCCGCTTTCCATCACCCCGCCTCATTCTCCCGCTTCCCATAACCCCACCCCATTCTCTCGCTTTCCATCACCCCGCCACATTCTCCCACTTTCCATCAGCCCGCCCCATTCTCCCGCTTTCCATCACCCCGCCCCATTTTCCCGCTTTCCATCACCCCTCCCCTTTCTCCCGCTTTCCATCTCCCCGCCCCATTCTCCCGCTTTCCATCACCCCGCCCCATTCTCCGGCTTTCCATCAGCCCGCCCCATTCTCCCGCTTTCCATCACCCCGCCCCATTTTCCCGCTTTCCATCACCCCTCCCCTTTCTCCCGCTTTCCATCTCCCCGCCCCATTCTCCCGCTTTCCATCACCCCGCCCCATTCTCCCGCTTTCCATCACCCCGCCCCATTCTTCCGCTTCCCATCATCTCGCCCCATTCCCCCGCTTTCCATCACCCCTCCCCATTCTCCCTCCTTCCATCACCCCGCTCCATTCTCTCGTTTTCCATCACCCCGCCCCATTCTCCCGCTTTCCATCACGCCGCCCCATTCTCCCGCTTTCCATCACCCCGCCCCATTCTCCCTCCTTCCATCACCCCGCCCCATTCTCCCGCTTTCCATCACCCCGCCCCATTCTCCCGCTTCCCATAAACCCACCCCTTTCTCCCGCTTTCCATCACCCTTCCACATTTTCCCACTTTCCATCACGTCGCCCCCTTCTCTCTCCTTCCATCATCCCGCCCCATTCTCCCTCCTTCCATCACCCCGCCCCATTCTCTTGCTTTCCATCAGCCCGCCCCATTCTCCCGCTGTCCATCACCCCGCCCCTTTTTCCCGCTTTCCATCTCCCCGCCCCATTCTCCCGCTTTCCATCACCCCGCCCCATTCTCCCGCTTTCCATCACCCCGCCCCATTCTTCCGGTTCCCATCATCCCGCCCCATTCCACCGCTTTCCATCACCCCTCCCCATTCTCCCTCCTTCCATCACCCCGCCCCATTCTTCCGCTTTCCATCACCCGCCCCATTCTCCCGCTTTCCATCACCTCGCCCCATTCTCCCGCTTTCCATCATCCCACCCCATTCTTTTGCTTTCCATCACCCCGCCCCATTCTCCCGCTTTCCATCACCCTGCCCCATTCAACCGCTTTCCATCACCCGCCCCATTCTCCCGCTTTCCATCACGCCGCCCCATTCTCCCGCTTTCCATCACCCCGCCCCATTCTCTCTCCTTCCATCACCCCGCCCCATTCTCCCGCTTTCCATCACCCCGCCCCATTCTCCCGCTTCCCATAACCCCACCCCTTTCTCCCGCTTTCCATCACCCCGCCACATTTTCCCACTTTCCATCACCTCGCCCCCTTCTCTCTCCTTCCATCATCCCGCCCCATTCTCCCTCCTTCCATCACCCCGCCCCATTCTCTTGCTTTCCATCAGCCCGCCCCATTCTCCCGCTGTCCATCACCCCGCCCCTTTTTCCCGCTTTCCATCACCCTGCCCCAATCTCCCGCTTTCCATCACCCCGCCCCATTCTCCCTCCTTCCATCACCCCGCCCCATTCCCCCGCTTTCCATCACCCCACCCCATTCTCCCGCTTTCCATCACCCCACCCCATATTCCCGCTTTCCATCACCCCGCCCCACTCTCAAGCTTTCCATCAGCCGCCCCATTCTCCCGCTTTCCATCACCCGCCTCATTCTCCCGATTCCCATCAACCCGCCCCATTCTCCCGCTTTCTATCACCCGTCCCCATTCTCCCTCCTTCCTTCACCCCGCCCCATTCTCCCGCTTTCCATCACCCCACCCCATTCTCCCGCTTTCCATCACCTCGCCCCATTCTCCCGCTTTCCATCACCCTGCCCTATTCTCCCGCTTTCGATCAACCTGCCCCATTCTCCCGCTTTCCATCACCCTGCCCGAATCTCCCTCCTTCCATCACCTCACCCCATTCTCCCGCTTTCCATCACCCCGCCCCATTCTCCTGCTCTCCATCACCCCGCACCATTCTCCCGCTTTCCATCACCCCTTCCCATTCTCCTGCATTCCATCACCCGCCCCATTCTCCCGCTTTCCATCACCCCACCCCAGTCTCCCGCTTTCCATCACCCCGCCCTATTCTCCCCCTTTCCATCAACCCGCCCCATTCTCCCACTTTCCATCACCCCACCCCATTCTCCCGCTTTCCATCACCCTGCCCCATTCTCCCGCTTTCCTTCACCCCTCCCCATTCTCCCGCTTTCCATCACCGTGCCCCATTCTCCCGCTTTCCATTACCCCGCCCCATTCTCCCGCTTCCCATCATCTCGCCCCCTTCTCCCGCTTTCCATCACCCTGCCCCATTCTCCCTCCTTCCATCACCCCACCCCATTCTCCCGCTTTCCATCACCTCGCCCCATTCTCCCGCTTTCCATCACCCCGACCCATTCTCCCGCTTTCCATCACCCCGCCCCATTCTCCTGCTTTCCATCACCCGCCCCATTCTCCCGCTTTCCATCACCCCACCCCAGTCTCCCGCTTTCCATCATCCCGCCCTATTCTCCCGCTTTCCATCACCCCGCCCCATTCTCCCGCTTTCCATCACCCCACCCCATTCTCCCGCTTTCCATCACCCCGCCCCATTCTCCCGCTTTCCATCACCCCGCCCCATTCTCCCGCTTTCCATCACCCCGCCCCATTCTCCCACTTTCTATCACCCCACCCCATTCTCCCGCTTTCCATCACTCCGCCCTATTCTCCCTCCTTCCATCACCCCGCCCAATTCTCCCGCTTTCCATCACCCCGACCCATTCTCCCACTTTCCATCACCCCGCCCAATTCTCTCGATTTCCGTCACCCTGCCCCATTCTCCCTCTTTCCTTCACCCCGCCCCATTCTCCCGCTTTCCATCATCGCGCCCCATTCCCCCGCTTTCCATCACCACGCCCCATTCTCCCTCCTTCCATCACCCCGCCCCATTCTACCGCTTTCCATCACCCCGCCACATTCTTCCACTTTCCATCACACCGCCAGATTCTCCCTCCTTCCATCACCCCGCCCCATTCTAACTCCTTCCATCACCCCGCCCCATTCTCCCGCTTTCCATCAGCCCTCCCCATTCTCCCGCTTTCCATCACCCCGCCCCATTCTCCCGCTTTCCATCACCCTGCCCCATTCTCCCGCTTTCCATCACCCCGCCCCATTCTCCCGCTTTCAATCACCCCGTCCCATTCTCCCTCTTTCCATCACCCCACTCCATTCTCCCGCTTTCCATCACCCCGCCCTATTCTCCCTCTTTCCATCACCCCTCCCTATTCTCGCTCTTTCCATCACCCCGCCCCATTCTCCCTCCTTCCATCACTCCGCCCCATTCTCCCGCTTTCCATCACCCGCCCCATTCTCCCGCTTTCCATCACCCCGCCCCATTCTCCCGCTTTCCATCACCCCGCCCCATTCTCCCGCTTTCCATCACCCCGCCCCATTCTCCCTCTTTCCATCACCCCGCCCCGTTCTCCCGCTTTCCATCACCCCGCCCCGTTCTCCCGCTTTCCATCACCCCGACCCATTCTCCCCCTTTCCATCACCCCGCCACATTCTCCCGCTTTCCATCACCCCGCCCCATTCTCCCTCTTTCCATCACCCCGCCCTGTTCTCCTGCTTACCATCACCCCGCCCCATTCTCCCTCCTTCCATCACCCCGCCCCATTCTCCCGCTTTCCATCACCCCGCCCCCTTCTCCCTCCTTCCATCACCCGGCCCCATTCTCCCTCCTTCCATCACCCCGCCCCATTCTCCCGCTTTCCATCAGCCTGCCCCATTCTCCCGCTTTCCATCACCCCGCCCCTTTCTCCCGCTTTCCATCTCCGTGCCCCATTCTCCCGCTTTCCATCACCCCGCCCCATTCTCCCGCTTTCCATCACCCCGCCCCATTCTCCCGCTTCCCATCATCCCGCCCCATTCTCCCACTTTCTATCACCCCGCCCCATTCTCCCTCCTTCCATCACCCCGCCCCATTCTCCCGCTTTCCATCACCCCGCCCCATTCTCCCGCTTTCCATATCCCCGCCCCATTCTCCCTCCTTCCATCACCCGCCCCGTTCTCCCTCCTTCCATCACCCCGCCCCATTCTCCCGCTTTCCATCACCCCGCCCCATTCTCCCACTTTCCATCACCCCGCCCCATTCTCCCGCTTTCCATCACCCCGCCCCATCCTCCCTCTTTTCACCACCCCGCCCCTTTCTCCCTGTTTCCATCACCCCGCCCCATTCTCCCGTTTTCCATCACCCCACCCCATTCTTACTCTTTCCATCACCCCGCCCCATTCTCCCTCTTTCCATCACCCCGCCCCATTTTCCCTCTTTCCATCACCCTGCCCCATTCTCTCGCAATCCATCACCCCGCCCCATTCTCCCTCTTTCCATCACCCCGCCCCGTTCTCCCTCTTTCCATCACCCCGCTCCATTCTCCCGCTTTCCATCACCCAGCCCCATTCTCCCTCTTTAGATCACCCCGCCCCATTCTCCCGCTTTCTATCACCCCACCCCATTCTCCCGCTTTCCATCACCCCGCCCCATTCTCCCTCTTTCCATCAACCCGCCCCATTCTCCCGCTTTCCATCACCCCGCCCCATTTTCCCGCTTTCCTTCACCCCGCCCCCTTCTCACGCTTTCCATCACCCCGCCCCATTCTCCCGCTTTCCATAACCCCGCCCCATTCTCCCTCCTTCCATCACCCGCCCCGTTCTCCCTCCTTCCATCAACCCGCCCCTTTCTCCCTCCTTCCATCACCCCGCCCCATTCTCCCTCTTTCCATCACCCCGCCCCATTCTCCCGCTTTCCATCACCCCGCCCCATTTTCCCGCTTTCCTGCACCCCGCCCCCTTCTCCCGCTTTCCATCACCCCGCCCCATTCTCCCGCTTTCCATAACCCCGCCCCATTCTCCCTCCTTCCATCACCCGCCCCGTTCTCCCTCCTTCCATCACCCCGCCCCTTTCTCCCTCCTTCCATCACCCCGCCCCATTCTCCCTCTTTCCATCACCCCGCCCCATTCTCCCGCTTTCCATCACCCCGCCCCATCCTCCCTCTTTTCACCACCCCGCCCCTTTCTCCCTGTTTCCATCACCCCGCCCCATTCTCCCGTTTTCCATCACCCCACCCCATTCTCACTCTTTCCATCACCCCGCCCCATTCTCCCTCTTTCCATCACCCCGCCCCATTTTCCCTCTTTCCATCACCCTGCCCCATTCTCTCGCTTTCCATCACCCCGCCCCATTCTCCCTCTTTCCATCACCCCGCCCCGTTCTCCCTCTTTCCATCACCCCGCTCCATTCTCCCGCTTTCCATCACCCAGCCCCATTCTCCCTCTTTAGATCACCTTGCCCCATTCTCCCGCTTTCTATCACCCCACCCCATTCTCCCGCTTTCCATCACCCCGCCCCATTCTCCCTCTTTCCATCACCCCGCCCCATTCTCCCGCTTTCCATCACCCCGCCCCATTTTCCCGCTTTCCTTCACCCCGCCCCCTTCTCCCGCTTTCCATCACCCCGCCCCATTCTCCCGCTTTCCATAACCCCGCCCCATTCTCCCTCCTTCCATCACCCGCCCCGTTCTCCCTCCTTCCATCACCCCGCCCCTTTCTCCCTCCTTCCATCACCCCGCCCCATTCTCCCTCTTTCCATCACCCCGCCCCATTCTCCCGCTTTCCATCACCCCGCCCCATCCTCCCTCTTTTCACCACCCCGCCCCTTTCTCCCTGTTTCCATCACCCCGCCCCATTCTCCCGTTTTCCATCACCCCACCCCATTCTCACTCTTTCCATCACCCCGCCCCATTCTCCCTCTTTCCATCACCCCGCCCCATTTTCCCTCTTTCCATCACCCTGCCCCATTCTCTCGCTTTCCATCACCCCGCCCCATTCTCCCTCTTTCCATCACCCCGCCCCGTTCTCCCTCTTTCCATCACCCCGCTCCATTCTCCCGCTTTCCATCACCCAGCCCCATTCTCCCTCTTTAGATCACCCCGCCCCATTCTCCCGCTTTCTATCACCCCACCCCATTCTCCCGCTTTCCATCACCCCGCCCCATTCTCCCTCTTTCCATCACCCCGCCCCATTCTCCCGCTTTCCATCACCCCGCCCCATTCTCCCTCTTTCTATCACCCCTCCCCATTCTCCCTTTTTCCATCACCCCGCCCCATTCTCCCTCTTTTCATCACCCCGCTCCATTCTCCCGCTTTCCATCACCCGGCCCCATTCTCCCGCTTTCTATCACCCCGCCCCATTTTCACTCTTTCTATCACCCGGCCCCATTTTCACTCTTTCCATCACCGCGCCCCATTCTCCCGCTTTCCATCACCCCGCCCCATTCTCCCTCTTTCCATCACCCCGCCCCATTCTCCCTCTTTCCATCACCCCGCCCCATTCTCCCTCTTTCCATCACCCCGCCACATTCTCCCTCTTTCCATCACCCCGCCCTATTCTCCCTGTTTCCATCACCCCGCCCCATTCTCCCTGTTTCCATCACCCCGCCCCATTCTCCCTGTTTCCATCACCCCGCCCCGTTCTCCCTGTTTCCATCACCCCACCCCGTTCTCGCCCTTTCCATCACCCCTCCCCATTCTCGCCCTTTCCATCACCCCGCCCGATTCTCCCGCTCTCAATCACCCCGCCCCATTTTCCTGCTTTCCATCACCCCGCCCCATTCTCCCTCTTTCCACCACCCCGCCCCATTCTCCCTCTTTCCATCACCCCGCCCCATTCTCCCGTTTTCCATCACCCCACCCCATTCTCCCTCTTTCCATCACCCCGACCCATTCTCCCTCTTTCCATCACCCCGCCCCATTCTCCCTCTTTCCATCACCCTGCCCCATTCTCTCGCTTTCCATCCCCCCGCCCCATTCTCCCTCTTTCCATCACCCCGCCCCATTCTCCCTCTTTCCATCACCCCGCCCCATTCTCCCGCTTTCTATCACCCCGCCCCATTCTCCCGCTTTCCATCACCCCGCCCCATTCTCCCTCTTTCCATCACCCCGCCCCATTCTCCTGCTTTCCATCACCCCACCCCACTCTCCCGCTTTCCATCACCCCGCCCCATTCTCCCTCTTTCTATCACCCCTCCCCATTCTCCCGCTTTCCATCACGTGGACCTGGACGTGGAGGACTTGGACGTGGACGTGGACGCGGACGTGGACGCGAACGTGGACGCGGACGTGGACCGCGGACGTGGACGCGGATGTGGACGTGGACGTGGACGTGGACGCAGACGTGGACGTGGACGCGGACGTGGACGTGGACGTGGACGTGGACGGGGAGGACGTGGACGTGGACGTGGACGGGGAGGACGTGGACGTGGACGGGGAGGACGTGGACGTGGACGTGGACGGGGAGGACGTGGACGTGGACGTGGACGGGGAGGACGTGCACGTGGACGTGGACGTGGACGTGGACATGGACGTGGACGTGGACATGGACATGGACGTGGACGTGGACGTGGACGTGGACATGGACGTGGACGCAGACGTGGACGTGGACGTGGACGTGGACGTGGACATGGACATGGACGTGGACGTGGACGCGGACGTGGACATGGACGTGGACGCAGACGTGGACGTGGACGTGGACGTGGACGTGGACATGGACGTGGACGTGGACGTGGACATGGACGTGGACGCGGACGTGGACATGGACGTGGACGCGGACGTGGACGCGGACGTGGACGCGGACGCGGACGCGGACGTGGACGCGGACGTGGACGTGGACGTGGATGTGGACTTGGTCATGGACGTGGACGTGGACTTGGACGTGGTCGTGGACGTGGACTTGGACGTGGACGTGGACTTGGACGTGGACGTGGACGTGGACTTGGACGTGGACGTGGACGTGGACTTGGACGTGGACGTGGACGTGGACGTGGATTTGGACGTGGACGTAGACATGGACGTGGACTTGGACGTGGACGTGGACGTGGACGTGGACTTGGACGTGGACGTGAACTTGGACGTGGACTTGGACGTGGACGTGGACGTGGACTTGGACGTGCACGTGGACTTGGACGTGGACGTGGTCCTGGACGTGGACGTGGACGCGGACGTGGACCTGGACGTGGAGCTGGTCATGGACGTGGATGTGGACGTGGTCGTGGACGTGGACGTGGACCTGGACGTGGACGTGGACGTGGTCGTGGACCTGGACGTGGTCGTGGACGTGGACGTGGACGTGGACTTGGACGTGGATGTGGACGTGGACTTGGATCTGGACGTGGTCGTGGACGTGGATGTGGACGTGGACATGGACGTGGACTTGGACGTGGATGCGGACTTGGACGTGGACATAGACGTGGACGTGGTCGTAGACGTGGACGTGGTCGTGGACGTGGACGTGGACTTGGACGTGGACGTGGTCGTGGACGTGGTCGTGGACGTGGACGTGGACGTGGACTTGGACGTGGACGTGGTCGTGGTCATGGACGTGGACCTGGACGTGGACGTGGAGGTGGTCGTGGTCGTGGTCGTGGACTTGGACGTGGACGTGGACTTGGACGTGGACGTGGACTTGGACGTGGACGTGGACTTGGACGTGGACTTGGACGTGGACGTGGACGTGGTCGTGGACGTGGACATGGACGTGGTCGTGGACGTGGACGTGGACGTGGACATGGACTTGGACGTGGACGTGGTCGTGGACGTGGTCGTGGACGTGGACGTGGTCGTGGACGTGGTCGTGGTTGTGGACGTGGTCGTGGACGTGGACGTGGACTTGGACGTGGACCTGGACGTGGACGTGGACGTGGACGTGGAGGACGTGGACGTGGACGTGGACGTGCACGTGGTCGTGGACTGGGACGTGGACGTGGACGTGGACGTGGACGAGGTCGTGGACGTGGACTTGGTCGTGGACGTGGACGTGGTCGTGGACGTGGTCGTGGACATGGACGTGGACGTGGTCGTGGACGTGGACGTTGTCGTGGACGTAGACGTGGACGTGGTCATGGACGTGGACGTGGACGTGGACTTGGACGTGGACGTGGACTTGGACGTGGACGTGGACGTGGACGTGGTCGTGGACGTGGACTTGGACGTGGACGTGGACTTGGACGTGGACGTGGACGTGGACGTGGACGTGGACGTGGACGTGGACGTGGATGTGGACTTGGTCGTGGACGTGGACGTGGACTTGGACGTGGACGTGGACGTGGACGTGGACGTGGTCGTGGACTGGGACGTGGACTTGGTCGTGGACGTGGACGTGGTCGTGGACGTGGACTTGGTCGTGGACGTGGACGTGGACGTGGACGTGGTCGTGGACGTGGACTTGGACGTGGACTTGGACGTGGACGTGGACGTGGACGTGGACTTGGACGTGGACGTGGACGTGGTCGTGGACGTGGACTTGGACGTGGACTTGGACGTGGACGTGGACGTGGACGTGGACGTGGACGTGGACGTGGACTTGGACGTGGACTTGGACGTGGACGTGGACGTGGACGTGGATTTGGACGTGGACGTGGACGTGGTCGTGGACGTGGACTTGGACGTGGACTTGGACGTGGACGTGGACGTGGACTTGGACGTGGACGTGGACGTGGACTTGGACGTGGACTTGGACGTGGACGTGGACGTGGTCGTGGACTGGGACGTGGACTTGGTCGTGGACGTGGACGTGGTCGTGGACGTGGACTTGGTCGTGGACGTGGACGTGGACGTGGACGTGGTCGTGGACGTGGACTTGGACGTGGACGTGGACTTGGACGTGGACGTGGACGTGGACGTGGACGTGGACGTGGACTTGGACGTGGACTTGGACGTGGACGTGGACGTGGACTTGGACGTGGACGTGGACATGGACGTGGACGTGGACTTGGACTTGGACGTGGACGTGGACTTGGACGTGGACGTGGACGTGGACGTGGACTTGGTCGTGGACGTGGACGTGGACGTGGACTTGGACGTGGACTTGGACGTGGACTTGGACGTGGACGTGGACGTGGACGTGGACGTGGACTTGGTCGTGGACGTGGACGTGGACGTGGACTTGGACGTGGACTTGGACGTGGTCTTGGACGTGGACGTGGACGTGGACTTGGACGTGGACTTGGACGTGGACGTGGACGTGGACTTGGACGTGCACGTGGACTTGGACGTGGATGTGGTCCTGGATGTGGACGTGGACGTGGACGTGGACCTGGACGTGGAGCTGGTCGTGGACGTGGATGTGGACGTGGTCGTGGACGTGGACGTGGACCTGGACGTGGACGTGGACGTGGTCGTGGACCTGGACGTGGTCGTGGACGTGGACGTGGACGTCGACGTGGACTTGGACGTGGATGTGGACGTGGACTTGGACGTGGACGTGGTCGTGGACGTGGATGTGGACGTGGACATGGACGTGGACCTTGACGTGGATGCGGACTTGGACGTGGACGTAGACGTGGACGTGGTCGTAGACGTGGACGTGGTCGTGGACGTGGACGTGGACGTGGACTTGGGCGTGGACGTGGACGTGGTCGTGGACGTGGACGTGGACTTGGACGTGGTCGTGGTCATGGACGTGGACCTGGACGTGGACGTGGACGTGGACGTGGTCGTGGTCGTGGACTTGGACGTGGACGTGAACTTGGACGTGTACGTGGACTTGGACGTGGACGTGGACTTGGACGTGGACTTGGACGTGGACGTGGACGTGGTCGTGGACGTGGACATGGACGTGGTCGTGGACGTGGACGTGGACGTGGACGTGGACATGGACTTGGACGTGGACGTGGACGTGGTCGTGGACGTGGTCGTGGACGTGGACGTGGACGTGGTCGTGGATGTGGTCGTGGTCGTGGACGTGGTCATGGACGTGGACGTGGACTTGGACGTGGACCTGGACGTGGACGTGGACGTGGACGTGGAGGACGTGTACGTGGACGTGGACATGGACGTGGTCGTGGACTGGGACGTGGACGTGGACGTGGACGTGGACGTGGACTTGGACGTGGACATGGACGTGGTCGTGGACGTGGTCGTGGACGTGGACATGGACGTGGTCGTGGACGTGGACGTGGTCGTGGACGTGGACGTGGTCATGGACGTGGACTTGGATTTGGACGTGGACGTGGACGTGGACTTGGACGTGGACGTGGACTTGGACATGGACGTGGACGTGGACGTGGTCGTGGACGTGGACTTGGACGTGGACGTGGACTTGGACGTGGACGTTCTCCTCCAGTCCTGTACGTAGACAACAAGGCCATGCTGGCCTTGTGTCGAGAGCAGCGACTGGAGCACAAGACAAAGCATATTGCTCTCCGCTACTTTCTTGCTCGTGAGCTACAGCAGCGTGGACAGTTGCGACTTGCGTACGTGGCCTCTGAGGCCAACACTGCTGATGTCTTCACCAAGGCACTTGCGCCTTGTGATCATCAGCGTTGCTGCACGCAGCTAGGTCTTGTGCCTGTCTTGCCTCACTTACTCACGTCTTGACCTTGCTTGTACCTTGACCTCTATATACTCTTGCTCTTGTTTCCTTGACTCTTGTATATCTCTATATATGATCTTGCATGTGAACTGGCCTTGTGGCCCTTGAACTTGTGCTCGGAATGTGTTGTGACTTTGTGATCCACCCTTAGCTTTGCTTTGCTTTGTTTGACTGGTCTTGTGACCCCTTGTTCTCCCCCACTTTGCCTATGAGGGTGTGTGAGAACATTATAGCTTACTTATTTGTGTAGGCTATTGTGGGGTATCCCATAGGGGGTACAACCCAATTAGGGTTTCATTTTTTTACTCACTTCATTCATAGTTCATTCATTCTCGTTCTTTCTTTCACATTTCCGTCTCCCTAGCCCCACTTGCACTATAAGTGCGAAATGCCGGCTAGACTGGCCGATGCACCATTTTCTCTACACATGTGTGTTAGTTACCTTTCAAACCGTTACGTTCACTAGATGAATATATTTCCTACCTTCTATTTGAGTGAGACCACTAGATTCCGTGTACTATGCAAGATCTGAGCGCTTCCGTTCTCCCTGGCATTTGCATATTAAGTTCCCATACTGACCGACCTGGCCAATGCACTATTTTCCATATAAATGTGCATTAGATACCTTTTGAACCTTATTAGCTCACTAGATTTATATATTTCCCAACTTCTAATCGAGTGAGACCGCTAGATTCCCTTTAATTTTTGAGAAATGAGCGTTTCCGTTCTCCCTGGCCCTACTTGCACTAAAAGTGCGAAATGCCAGCCAGACCGCCCGATGCACCCTTTTCTCTACACATGTGCGTTAGTTACCTTTCAAACCCTTACATTCACTAAATGAATACATTTCCTACTTTCTTTTTGAGTGAGACCACTAGATTCCGTTTACTATGCGAGATCTGAGAGCTTCCGTTCTCCCTGGCCTTTGCATTTTAAGTTCCCATACTGACCGACCTGGTCAATGCACTATTTTCCATATAAATGTGCATTAGATATCTTTTGAACCTTATTAGCTCACTAGATTTATATATTTCCCACCTTCTGATCGAGTGAGACCGCTAGATTCCCTTTACTTTTTTAGAAATGAGCGTTTCCGTTCTCCCTGGCCCTACTTGCACTATAAGTGCGAAATGCCGGCCAGACTGGCCGATGCACCATTGTCTCTATACATGTGCGTTAGTTACCTTTCAAACCCGTACGTTTACTAGATGAATGCATTTCCTACCTTCTATTTGAGTGAGACCACTAGATTCCGTGTACTATGCGAGATCTGAGCGTTTCCGTTCTCCCTGGCATTTGCATTTTAAGTTTCGATATTGACTGACCTGGACAATGCACCATTTTCTCTATACATGTGCGTTAGATACCTTTCAAACCTTTTTAGCTGACTAGATTTATATATTTCCCATCTTTTGATCGAGTGAGACCGCTAGATTCCCTCTACTTTTTGAGAAACGAGCGTTTCCGTTCTCCCTGCCCCACTTGTACTATAAGTGCGAAATGTCGGCCAGACTGGCCGATGCACCATTTTCTCTACACATGTGCGTTAGTTACCTTTCAAACCGTTACGTTCACTAGATGAATATATTTCCTACCGTCTATTTGAGTGAGACCACTAGATTCCGTGTACTATGCGAGATCTGAGCGCTTCCGTTCTCCTAGGCATTTGCACTCTAAGTTCCGATACTGACCGACCTGGCCAATGCACCATTTTCCATATACATACGCATTAGATTCCTTTCGAACCTTATTAGCTCACTAGATTTATATATTTCCCACCTTTTGATCGAGTGGGACTGCTAGATTCCCATTACTTTTTTAGAAATGAGCGTTTTCGTTCTCCTTGGCCCTACTTGTACTATAAGTGCGAAATGCCGGCAAGACTGGCCGATGCACCATTTTCTCTACACATGTGCGTTAGTTACCTTTCAAACCCTTACGTTCACTAGATCAATATATTTCCTACCTTCTATTTGAGTGAGACCACTAGATTCCGTATACTATGCGAGATCCGAGCGCTTCCGTTCTCCCTGGCATTTGCATTTTAAGTTCCGATACTGACCGACCTGGCCAATGCACCATTTTCCCTATACATGTATACATGTATGTGCGTTAGATACCTTTCAAACCTTTTTAGCTGACTACATTTATATATTTCCCACCTTCTGATCGAGTGAGACCGCTAGATTCCCTCTACTTTTTGAGAAACGAGCGTTTCCGTTCTTCCTCGCCCCACTTGCACTATAAGTGCGAAATGTCGGCCAGACTGGCCGATGCACCATTTTCTCTACACATGTGCGTTAGTTACCTTTCAAACAGTTACGTTCACTAGATGAATATATTTCCTACCTTCTATTTGAGTGAGACCACTAGATTCCGTGTACTATGCGAGATCCGAGCGCTTCCGTTCTCCTAGGCATTTGCACTCTAAGTTCCCATATTGACCGACCTGGCCAATGCACCTTTCCATATACATATGCATTAGATTCCTTTCAAACCTTATTAGTGTCAACGGGAGTTGGATATTAGCCCCGTCCTCGCTTGGGCGGTGCCGACTTCGTGGTCGGGTGTGAGGGGAGCAGCCGACCTGCAGCAGTGGGTGAGCTGGTCGACAAGGAGGTCGACCTGCACGGGGGACCACTGCACGGGCGCCGACGTCAGGGTGGCGCCGACTTCAGGGGTCGACTTGGGAGTCGACCTACGGAGGAGCGTCAACTTAGTGACGCCAGTTTCGGGTGGCCGACGATTGTGCTGGTCGACGAGGAGCAGGTCGACCAGAGGGGACGTCGACCTGGAGGAGGTCGACGTGGAGGTGGTCGTCGACTTGGGAGGTCGACGGGCACGAACGGGAGCTGCTGGTCGACGTGGTTGCCTGGTCGACCAGGTTACCTGGGTGACAAAGTGCTGCGGAGGAGTGCGACGGTCGCCCAGGCGAAGTTGGCGAGCCCGACCTCGGTGGTGGTATCCCGAGGTCGTCGTGGCGGATCAGAGGCAGTCGTCAGCTCGAGGTTGACATGGTGTGTGCGCTGTGCAGGTGACAAGACTCTGCACGCCAATCATCTGCGCACACCTGCGAAGCGGGTGCACTGCTGTCCTACGTGAGCAATGCTGGCACACCGTCAACCTGCGACGCTGGCACGCCGTCGACCTTGCCTTGCTGGAACGCGGTCGACCAAGCTGCGCTGGCAGTTGGCCAACCTGGATGCTTGCTCTGATGCTCTGATGTAGTCTTGCTATGCCAACTTCATTGTACTCATTGTTCTGAACTTTTCCTAGTGGAACTCTTGCCAATTTTCCCCGTGAACTAGCAAGTAATGTGCGCACAAGGAAAACGACTAAGGAACAGAGAACGCAGAGATCACACGAGCACACGTGCCTAGCCCGTAGTCTAGCTCCCGTTGCTGCACTTATCTCCGCAATTAGCTCACTAGATTTATATATTTCCCACCTTCTGATCGAGTGAGACCGCTAGATTCCCTTTACTTTTTGAGAAATGAGCGTTTCCGTTCTCCTTGGCCCTACTTGCACTATAAGTGCGAAATGCCGGCCAGACTGGCCGATGCACCATTTTCTCTACACATGTGCGTTACTTACCTTTCAAACCCTTACATTCACTAGATGAATATATTTCCTACCGTCTATTTGAGTGAGACCACTAGATTCCGTGTACTATGCGAGATCTGAGCGGTTCCGTTCTCTCAGGCATTTGCACTCAAAGTTCCCATACTGACCGACCTGGCCAATGCACCATTTTCCATATACATATGCATTAGATTCCTTTCAAACCTTATTAGCTCACTAGATTTATATAATTCCCACCTTCTGATCGAGTGAGACTGAACTACGTCGCGGTGTCGTCCACGCTCACCGCACCATGCAGAGATAATTGCAGCAATGGGAGCTAAGCTACGGGCTAGGCACGTGTGCTCGTATGATCTCTGCGTTCGTTCACTTAGTCGTTTCCTTGTGTTCACGCTTCTTGCTGGTTCACGGGGGAATTGGCAAGAGTTTCACTAGGAAAACATGACAACAATGATAGTAACAACATTGGCATCACAGACTACATGAGTGCTAGCTAGGCTGCTGGTCGACCTCCAGCACAGCACGGTCGACCGCGCTACAGCGCAGCAGTGCTCGCACCGCTCCAGCGTTGCAGAGTAGCGGTTCGCCAACGTTGCAAGTCCACAGTGTGCCAGCGCTGCACCAAGTCGGCTGCACAGCGTTGCATCCGCAGGACAACGGTGCACCTGCTTCGCAGGTGCACGCAGCTGGTTGGTGCGCACTTCCTCGTCACGTGCACAACGCAGACGCCTGGCAGACTCCACGCCAGCGACTGTGTCCACCAGCCACGTCGACCTCGGGATACCACCCCCAAGGTCGGCCTCGCAGTCTCTACCCTGGCGACACTCGCGCATGTCGCCCGGGTATCCCGATCGACCGGGCAACCACGCTTGTTCGACTCACGCAGTCCGTAGCCGGCCACGCATGCCCGGCGTCCCCAGTCTGGCGTCCAGGCGCACACAAGACGCTTCTGAACCCCCAGGTCGGCGTCCAGACGCCCAGGACGCCGACCAAAACCTCCAGAGTGGCGTCCCTCCTCCCAGGACGTTGACTAGACACCCAAGTCGGTGTCGGGACCCGACGCCCAGGTCGGCATCCGGACCCCCGGACGCCGTGCAGACGCCCACGACCTCGACGAGGCGTCCGGGTGGTCATGGCGACGCCTAGCTCGGCGCCGCCCAGGTGTCCAGGGCGGCGTCCTCCTGCTCGGCGCCCTCCAGCCAGGCGCCTTCCAACTCGGCGCCCTTGCAGTGGCCCCCGTGCCCACTGCTACAGGTCTGCTGCAACCCTCGCACATCCGACCACAAGGTTGGCTCCGCCCAAGCGAGGACGGGGCCTTACAACGCTCCCTTTGACAATTGCACCCTAAGTTCCCATACTGACTGGCCTGGCCAATGCACCATTTTCCCTATACATGTGCATTAGATACCTTTCGAACCTTATTGGCTCACTAGATTTATATATTTCCCACCTTTTGATCGAGTGAGACCGCTAGATTCCCTTTACTTTTTGAGAAATGAGCGTTTCCGTTCTCCCTAGCCCTACTTGCACTATAAGTGCGAAATGCCGGCCAGACTGGCCGATGCATCATGTTCTATACACATGTGAGCTATTTACCTTTCAAACCCTTACGTTCACTAGATGAATATATTTCCTACCTTCTATTTGAGTGAGACCACTAGATTCCGTGTACTATGCGAGATCTGAGCGGTTCCGTTCTCCCAGGCATTTGCACTCTAAGTTCCCATACTCACCGACCTGGCCAATGCACCATTTTCCATATACATGTGCATTAGATACCTTTCGAACCTTATTAGCTGACTAGATTCATATATTTCCCACCTTCTGATCGAGTGAGACCGCTAGATTCCCTTTACTTTTTGAGAAATGAGCGTTTCCGTTCTCCCTGGCCCCACTTGCAATATAAGTGCGAAATGCCGGCCAGACTGGCCGATGCACCATTTTCTCTACACATGTGCGTTAGTTACCTTTCAAAAACTTAAGTTCACCCGATTAATATATTTCCTACCTTCTATTTGAGTGAGACCTTTGGATTCCGTGTACTATGCAAGATCTGAGCGGTTCCGTTCTCCCAGGCATTTGCACTCTAAGTTCCCATACTGACCGACCTGGCCAATGCACGATATTCCATGTACATGTGCATTAGATACCTTTCAAACCTTATTATATCACTATATTTATATATTTCCCACCTTCTGATCGAGTGAGACCGCTAGATTCTCTTTACTTTTTGAGAAATGAGCGTTTCCGTTCTCCCTGGCCCTACTTGCACTATAAGTGCGAAATGCCGGCCAAACTAGCCGATGCACCGTTTTCTCTACACATGTGCGTTTGTTGTCAGAACATTATAGCTTATGCTGTTTGTGTAGGCCATAGTGGGGTATCGCATAGGGGGTACAACCCAATTAGGGTTTCCTATATGTACTCGCTTCATTCATTTCTCGTTTCGATTCTCACATGGTATCGAGCAGGTTCACTCGTGGAAACTGTTCCTAAGGCCCTACTACTGGTTCCGCTTCTACTCTATCTGTCGCACGCCAACCGCGCGCGGCGATTTTCTTTCTGGCGCGCGGCCCCGCCTCTTTCGTCATGGCCCCGCCTCTCTCGTCGCGGCCCCGCCCTTCGTTGCGGCCCCTGCCGCCCTTCGTCGCGGCCCCGCCACCCTGCCTTGCGGCCCCGCCGCCTCTCTTGACGCGGCCCCGCCGCTCTTCTTAGCGGCCCCTGCCGCCCTTCGTCGCAGCCACTGCCGCCATTCTCCACCGCGGCCCCGCCACCTCCCTTGTGAGCCCCGCCATTCTCCACCACTAGTGAGCCCCTGCATTACTAGCGCGTTGCCTGCTGCTTGCTTGGCTGCCTGCCTTACTGCTGCTACTCCTGCTCCTGCTTCTACTGGCGGTAGCCAGATGCAGCTCCAGCGACGCCCACGCGCGTCTCTCACGCCCCAGCAGCTTCGTGAGTGGTACGCCCAGAGTAGAGGGTCTCTCAGTTCTGTTCGCTGCTCTTCAGTGATTCGCACTGGTGCTCGGACTGATCAGCCTTGTGGGACGCCTAGTCACACACCGTCCTGCTGCTTCGCCCGTCTGAGCGACGCCTGGCGTACCGAGTTTGGCGACGAGGCTGAGCTCTCCGACTGGGTGGAGTTGCTTAGGTAGAGGGTAGATATATTTGCTCTTGACTATGATGCTATATTCACTGCCATGTATGCATTGCCTACTAGTGCTGACGGTGCCGGTCACCTGTGCGTACCGCCTGACCCGGATATAGAGCCTGCTGCTCTGGCTGCTGGTGCGGCTGCTGCTCTGGGTGCTAGTGTGTCTCTTGCTCCAGGTACAAGTGCGGCTGCTGCTCTAGGTGCTAGTGAGTCTGCTTCCTTAGGTGCGGGTGAGTCTGCTCTCTCAGGTACCGCGTCGGCTCCGGCCTCTCACACCTTGACCCTTGACTCGGGGGCTTCCCGCTCCTTCTTTTGAGACCGCACCACACTCACGCCGCTTGGTTGGCCAGTTGCAGTCTCTCTGGCAGACCCCTCTGGGGGCCCTGTCCTTGCTCACTTCTCCACTGTCCTCCCGTGTCCGGCGGCCCCCTCTGGCACCCTGTCTGGTCTTTACCTCCCCTCGTTCTCTACGAACTTGGTGAGTGGTGCTGACCTGCAGGATGCGGGGGCTCACCAGTTCACTCCTGCGAGTCAGCGGGTGACCCACTGCACAGACGCTCGGACAGGCCGACACCTGGCCACGTTTACTCGTCGGCCGGGGTCGAGCCTGTACACACTGACCACTGCGTCTCCTCCAGTTGCTGAGTCTGGTAGGGTAGCTGCGTCGGGTCAGGTGTTTGCTGCAGCGTCCAGGTCTGGTCCTGAGTCTGCCCCCTGTTCGTGTCGTCTCCTGTCTCACGAGACTCTCCTCTAGCACCACCGCCTTGGTCACCCCTCTCTGCTTCGGCTCAGAGGCATGGCCTCTCGTCTTCTTGTTTCTGGTCTCCCCCGGTCCCTCCCTCCCCTTCCTCAGGGCCCTGGCCCTACCTATGTCCCCTGTGTCGAGGGGCGCCAGCGTGCTGCCCCTCACTCCTCCCAGTTTCCTCCGACAGAGGCACCGTTGCAGACGCTTCACATGGACGTGTGGGGCCCAGCCCGCGTCCGTGGACAGGGTCACGAGCGCTACTTCCTGCTAGTTGTTGACGACTACTCGCGCTACACCGCAGTCGTCCCCTTGCGCAGCAAGGGTGATGTCACTGAGGTGCTGATCGATTGGATCCACGCAGCTCGTCTCCAGCTCAGGCAGAGCTTTGGCTCGGACTTTCCTGTTCTGCGTCTGCACTCAGATAGAGGCGGAGAGTTTTCCTCTGGCCTTCTGAGAGCCTACTGTCCCGCACGGGGCATCCGTCAGACCTTCACGCTTCCGGACTCTCCGCAGCAAAATGGGATTGCTGAGCGCCGCATTGGCATGGTCATGGACGTCGCTCGTACGTCTATGATGCATGCGGCTGCCCCCAATTTTCTGTGGCCGTTTGCGGTCAGGTACGCGGCGCATCAGATCAACCTTCACCCCAAGGTCTCCAGGCCGGAGACCTCCCCAGCCTTGCTGTGGACGGGGAAGGTTGGCGATGCGTCGGCGTTCCGGGTCTGGGGATCTCGGGCGTTTGTCCGCGACTTGTCCCCTCGTGCTGTTCCTTGCGTCTTCCTGGGGTTCCCCCCTGATGCGCCTAGGTGGCAGTTCTACCACCCAACCTCTCGCCGTGTTCTGTCCTCCCGGGACGTCACGTTTGACGAGTCAGTCCCCTACTACCGCCTCTTCCCCTACCGCACTCCGTCCCTCCCCCCGCCCCCGCTCTTCCTTGTATCAGGTCCCCCCCCAGGTAGACCCCCTCCCCCCTTTGGGTCCTGCCCCTTCAGGTGTGTCCCAGGTAGACGCAATCGAGCCTGTCGAGGTTTTGGAGCTGCTGGAAGTGCTGCTGGAGCGGGTGCTCCTGCTGGAGGTACTGGTGCTGTCCCTGCTGTTTCTGGCGTCGCCACTCGGCCTCGACTGTACTTCGTTCCACTCCTGCAGCAGGTTCTTGGTCTTCCTCCTTCTACTGGTCCTCCTCCTCCCTTCGAGTGTCCACAGCCTGTCCCGTCACAGTTACAGTTGCAGCCTACCTCCCCTTTGCCTGCTCCTTCTCCCTACACTGGTCCTACTGGGGGTCTTGCTGAGCGTCGTGAGCCTGCGTCTCGCCCTACGTCGCCTGTCTGTGCTGCTCGCGCTAGTGGTCGTGGTTCGCGTCCGCGTCCTCCTCCTGTCCCTGGCACGCACAGGATGTCTCTGCGTCCGTCCACTGCTCCTCTGCGTGCCCCTTTGCCTTCTCCTCCTGGGTCCTCTCTTCCTGCTCTTGCCGACCCGGAGTCGGACTCTCTTCGTGCTGCCAGTCCTACTGTCACGCGTCTCCTGGCTACTGTCGTCACTGACCCTTCTTTCGAGTCCACTGCTGCGTCTGCCCTAGTTGATGAGCTCGTCGACTTTGCTGCTCGCTGTCGCCTAGACTACGCTGCTAGTCTTGTCGCTGAGTCTGAGTCTATCTGTCCTCCGTCCGTCGGGGGTGAGTGTGCCCTTGGCACGGACGTCCTTGAGGACAGACAGGAGGAGTTCCAGTGTCTGGCAGTTGCTTCACCTCATCTCGTGTCTCTACTGCTTACCCCTGAGGGAGACCCGGATGCACTTGACATCCCGACTCCGCGCTCTTACGCAGAGGCGATAGAGGGTCCCTACTCCTCTCAGTGGCAGACAGCTATGGATGCAGAGATGGCTTCCTAGAAGTCCACAGGCACCTACGTTGACGCTGTCCCCCCTCTTGGGGCGAACATTGTGAGTGGCATGTGGATTTTCAGGGTGAAGCGGCCGCCGGGTTCTCCGCCTGTCTTCGAGGCGCGTTACGTGGCTCGTGGCTTCAGTCAGCGGCAGGGAGTTGACTACTTTCAGACCTTCTCCCCCACCCCGAAGATGACCACTCTTCGGGTACTGCTGCACGTTGCTGCTCACCGTGACTACGAGCTGCACTCTCTCGACTTCAGCACTGCTTTCTTGCAGGGCAGCCTGCACGAGGAGATCTGGCTGCGCCGCCCACCTTGCTTCACTGGGTCTTTCCCTCCTGGTACCCAGTGGAGTTTCCGGCGTCCAGTCTACGGTCTCCGCCAGGCGCCACGTGAGTGGCACGACACACTGAGGACTACGCTTGCGGCTCTTGGGTTTGCTCCTTCTACTGCCGACCCGTCGCTGTTTCTGCGCACCGACACCTCTCTGCTGCCGTTCTACATCCTCGTGTACGTCGACGACTTGGTCTTTGCCACAGCTGACACTGCTGGACTCGCCTACGTGAAGTCCGAGTTGCAGAAGAGACACACGTGCACCGACCTGGGTGAACTGCGCAGCTACCTTGGTTTGCAGATCACCCGGGACAGAGAACGCCGCACCATTACCCTGACTCAGTCATACATGGTGCAGCAGGTCCTTCAGCGCTTCGGCTTCACGTACTCCTCGCCTCAGGCCACTCCTCTGCCTACTCGCCACTCACTCTCAGCTCTGCCTTCGGATGAGTCCGTAGAGTCGAGTGGCCCGTATCCAGAGCTTGTTGGCTGCCTCATGTACCTGATGACTTGCACACGACCTGACCTTGCATACCCTGTTAGCATTCTTGCACGCTATGTTGCTCCTGGGAGACATTGACCAGAGCACATGGCTGCAGCGAAGAGGGTGCTGCGCTACTTGTGCAGTACCTCGGAAATGGGGCTAGTGCTTGGAGGGCGGAGTCCAGTGGTCCTCACTGGGCACGCAGACGCTTCTTGGGCTGACGACCAGGCTACGCAGCGGTCCTCCCAGGGTTACACCTTCAGCCTTGGTTCCGGCTCTGTTTCGTGGCGGGCTACTCGCTCGTCTTCTGTTCTTGGCTCCAGTTCTGAGGCTGAGATCTACGCCGGGGCCATGGCTGCACAGGAGCTTCGCTGGCTCACCTACCTGCTGACTGACCTTGGAGAGCCGCCTCGTTCTCCTCCAGTCCTGTACGTAGACAACAAGGCCATGCTGTCCTTGTGTCGAGAGCAGAGACTGGAGCACAGAACAAAGCACATTGCTCTCCGCTACTTCCTTGCTCGTGAGCTACAGCAGCATGGTCAGTTGCGGCTTGCGTACGTGGCCTCTGAGGCCAACACTGCTGATGTCTTCACCAAGGCGCTTGCACCTTGTGATCATCAGCGCTTCTGCACTCAGCTTGGTCTTGTGCCTGTCTTGCCTTACTTGCTCACTGCTTGACCTTGCTTGTACTGTCACTTATATATACTCTTGCTCTTGCTTGTTTAGCCTCTTATATATATACGTGCTCCTGTATGTGAACTGGCCTTCTGGCCTTGAACTTGTGCTCGGAATGTGTGGTGACCTTGTGATCCACCCTTAGCTTTGCTTTGTTTTGCTTGACTGGTCTTGTGACCCCTTGTTCTCCCCTACTTTGCCTATGGGGGTGTGTCAGAATATTATAGCTTATGCTGTTTGTGTAGGCTATAGTGGGGTATCCCATAGGGTGTACAACCCAATTATGGTTTCCTATATGTACTCGCTTCATTCATAGTTCATTCATTCTCGTCTCGATTCTCACACTCCCTGGCCCTACTTGCACTCTAAGTGCAAAATGCCGGCCAGACTGGCCGATGCACCATTTTCTCGACACATGTGCGTTATTTACCTTTCAAACCCTTACGTTCACTCGATTAATATAATTCCTACCTTCTATTTGAGTGAGACCACTAGATTCCGTGTACTATGTGAGATCTGAGCGGTTCCGTTCTCTCAGGCATTTGCACTTTAAGTTCCCATACTGACCGACCTGGCCAATGCACCATATTCCATATACATATGCAATAGATTCCTTTCAAACCTTATTAGCTCACTAGATTTATATATTTCCCACCTTCTGATCGAGTGAGACCGCTAGATTCCCTCTACTTTTTGAGAAACGAGTGTTTCCGTTCTCCCTAGCCCCACTTGCACTATAAGTGCGAAATGCCGGCCAGACTGGCCTATGCACAATTTTCTCTACACATGTGCGTTAGTTACCTTTCAAAAACTTACGTTCACTCGATTAATATATTTCCTACCTTCTATTTGAGTGAGACCACTAGATTCCGTGTACTATGTGAGATCTGAGCGGTTCCGTTCTCTCAGGCATTTGCACTTTAAGTTCCCATACTGACCGACCTGGCCAATGCACCATATTCCATATACATATGCATTAGATTCCTTTCAAACCTTATTAGCTCACTAGATTTATATATTTCCCACCTTCTGATCGAGTGAGACCGCTAGATTCCCTCTACTTTTTGAGAAACGAACGTTTCCGTTCTCCCTAGCCCCACTTGCACTATAAGTGCGAAATGCCGGCCAGACTGGCCGATGCACCATTTTCTCTACACATGTGCGTTAGTTACCTTTCAAACCCTTACGTTCACTCGATTAATATATTTCCTACCTTATATTTGAGTGAGACCACTAGATTCCGTGTACTATGCGAGATCTGAGCGCTTCCGTTCTCCCTGGCATTTGCTTTTAAGTTCCGATACTGACCGACCTGGACAATGCACCATTTTCTCTGTACATGTACGTTAGATACCTTTCAAACCTTTTTAGCTGACTAGATTTATATATTTCCCACCTTCTGATCGAGTGAGACCGCTAGATTCCCTTTACTTTTTGAGAAATGAGCGTTTCCGTTCTCCCTGGCCCTACTTGCACTATAAGTGCGAAATGCCGGCCAGACTGGCCTATGCACCATTTTCTCTACACATGTGCGTTAGTTACCTTTCAAAAACGTACGTTCACTCGATAAATATATTTCCTACCTTCTATTTGAGTGAGACCACTAGATTCCGTGTAATATGTGAGATCTGTGCGGTTCCGTTCTCCCAGGCATTTACACTCAAAGTTCCCATACTGACCGACCTGGCCAATGCACCATTTTCCATATACATATGCATTAGATTCCTATCAAACCTTATTAGCTCACTAGATATATATATTTCCCACCTTCTGATCGACTGAGACCGCTAGATTCCCTTTACGTTTTGAGAAATGAGCGTATCCGTTCTCCTTGGCCCTACTTGCACTAAAAGTGCGAAATGCCGGCCAAACTGGCCGATGCACCATTTTCTCTACACATGTGCGTTATTTACCTTTCAATCCCTTACGTTCACTTGATTAATATATTTCCTACCTTATATTTGTGTGAGACCACTAGATTCCATGTACTATGCGAGATCTGAGCGCTTCCGTTCTCTCAGGCATTTGCACTCAAAGTTCCCATACTGACCGACCTGGCCAATGCACCATTTTCCATATACATATGCATTAGATTCCTTTCAAACCTTATTAGCTCACTAGATTTATATAATTCCCACCTTCTGATCGAGTGAGACCGCTAGATTCCCTCTACTTTTTGAGAAACGAGCGTTTGCGTTCTCCCTGGTCCTACGTGCACTATAAGTGCGAAAGACGGCCAAACTGGCCGATGCACCATTTTCTCTACACATGTGCGTTAGTTACCTTTCAAACCCTTACGTTCACTCGATTAATATATTTCCTACCTTATATTTGAGTGAGACCACTAGATTCCGTGTACTATGCGAGATCTGAGCGCTTCCGTTCTCCCAGGCATTTGCATTTTAAGTTCCGATACTGACCGACCTGGCCAATGCGCCATTTTCTCTATACATGTGCGGTAGATACCTTTCAAACTATTTTAGCTGACTATATTTATATATTTCCCACCTTCTGATCGAGTGAGACCACTAGATTCCCTTTACTTTTTGAGAAATGAGCGTTTCCGTTCTCCCTGGCCCTACTTGCACTAAAAGTGCGAAATGCCGGCCAGACTGGCCGATGCACCATTTTCTCTACACATGTGCGTTATTTACATTTCAAACCCTTACGTTCACTCGATTAATATATTTCCTACCTTATATTTGAGTGAGACCACTAGATTCCGTGTACTATGCGAGATCTGAGCGCTTCCGTTCTCCCTGGCATTTGCATTTTAAGTTCCCATACTGACCGACCTGGCCAATGCACTATTTTCCATATAAATGTGCATTAGATACCTTTTGAACCTTATTGGCTCACTAGATTTATATATTTCCCACCTTCTAATCAAGTGAGACCGCTAGATTCCCTTTTCTCTATACATGTGCGGTAGATACCTTTCAAACCATTTTAGCTGACTATATTTATATAATTCCCACCTTCTGATCGAGTGAGACCGCTAGATTCCCTCTACTTTTTGAGAAACGAGCGTTTGCGTTCTCCCTGGCCCTACGTGCACTTTAAGTGCGAAAGCCGGCCAGACTGGCCGATGCACCATTTTCTCTACACATGTGCGTTAGTTACCTTTCAAACCCTTACGTTCACTCGATTAATATATTTCCTACCTTATATTTGAGTGAGACCACTAGATTCCGTGTACTATGCGAGATCTGAGCGCTTCCGTTCTCCCTGGCATTTGCATTTTAAGTTCCCATACTGGCCGACCTGGCCAATGCACTATTTTCCATATAAATGTGCATTAGATACCTTTTGAACCTTATTGGCTCACTAGATTTATATATTTCCCACCTTCTAATCAAGTGAGACCGCTAGATTCCCTTTTCTTTTTGAGAAATGAGCGTTTCTGTTCTCCCTGGCCCTACTTGCACTATAAGTGCGAAATGCCGGCCAGACTGGCCGATGCACCATTTTCTCTACACATGTGCGTTAGTTACCTTTCGAACCCTTATGTTCACTAGATGAACGTAAGTCCTACCTTCTATTTGAGTGAGACCACTAGATTCCGTGTACTATGCGAGATCTGAGCGCTTCTGTTCTCCCTGGCATTTGCATTTTAAGTTCCCATACTGAACCACCTGGCCAATGCACTGTTTTTCATATGAATGTGCATTAGATACCTTTTGAACCTTATTAGCTCACTAGATTTATATATTTCCCACCTTCTGATCGAGTGAGACCGCTAGATTCCCTTTACTTTTTTAGAAATGAGCGTTTCCGTTCTCCCTGGCCCTACTTGCACTATAAGTGCGAAATGCCGGCCAGACTGGCCGATGCACCATTTTCTCTACACATGTGCGTTATTTACCTTTTCAAACCCTTACGTTCACTAGATGAATATATTTCCTACCTTCTATTTGAGTGAGACCACTAGATTTCGTGTACTATGCGAGATCTGAGCGCTTCTGTTCTCCCAGGCATTTGCACTCTAAGTTCCCATCCTGACCGACCTGGCCAATGCACTATTTTCCATATACATATGCATTAGATTCCTTTCAAACCTTATTAGCTCACTAGATTTATATATTTCCCACCTTCTGATCAAGTGAGACCGCTAGATTCCCTTTACTTTTTGAGAAATGAGCGTTTATGTTCTCCCTGGCCCTACTTGCACTATAAGTGCGAAATGCCGGCCAGACTGGCCGATGCACCATTTTCTCTACACATGTGCGTTAGTTACCTTTCAAACCCTTATTTTCACTAGATGAACGTAAGTCCTACCTTCTATTTGAGTGAGACCACTAGATTCCGTGTACTATGCGAGATCTGAGCGCTTCCGTTCTCCCTGGCATTTGCATTTTAAGTTCCCATACTCAACCACTTGGCCAATGCACTGTTTTTCATATAAATGTGCATTAGATACCTTTTGAACCTTATTAGCTTACAAGATTTATATATTTCCCACCTTCTGATCGAGTGAGACCGCTAGATTCCCTTTACTTTTTGAGAAATGAGCGTTTCCGTTCTCCCTGGCCCTACATGCACTATAAGTGCGAAATGCCGGCCAGACTGGCCGATGCACCATTTTCTCTACACATGTGCGTTATTTACCTTTAAAACCCTTACGTTCACTAGATTAATATATTTCCTACCTTCTATTTGAGTGAGACCACTAGATTCCGTGTACTATGCGAGATCTGAGCGCTTCCGTTCTCCCTGGCATTTGCATTTTAAGTTCCGATACTGACCGACCTGGCCAATGCACCATTTTCTCTATACATGTGCGTTAGATACCTTTCAAACATTTTTAGCTGACTAGATTTATATAATTCCCACCTTCTAATCGAGTGAGACCGCTAGATTCCCTCTACGTTTTGAGAAACAAGCGTTTCCGTTCTCCCTGGCCCTACTTGCACTATAAGTGTGAAATGCCGGCCAAACTGGCCGATGCACCATTTTCTCTACACATGTGCGTTAGTTACCTTTCAAACCCTTACGTTCACTAGATGAATATATTTCGTACCTTCTATTTGAGTGAGACCACTAGATTCCATGTACTATGCGAGATCTGAGCGCTTCCATTCTCACTGGCACGTCCACGTCCACGTCCACTTCCACGTCCATGTCCACGTCCATGTCCACGTCCACGTCCACGTCCACGTCCACGTCCACGACCATGTCCACGTCCACGTCCACATCCACGTCCACGTCCACCACGTCCACGTCCACGTCCACGTCCACGTCCACCACGTCCACGTCCACGTCCACGTCCATGTCCACGTCCACGTCCACGTCCACGTCCATGTCCACGTCCATGTCCACGACCACGTCCACGTCCACGTCCACGTCCACGCCACGTCCACGTCCACGACCACGTCCACGACCACGTCCACGTCCACGTCCACGTCGTCCACGTCCACGTCCACGTCCACGTCCACGTCCATGTCCACGTCCATGTCCACGTCCACCTCCACGTCCACGTCCACGTCCACCTCCACGTCCAAGTCCACGTCCACGACCAGTCCACGTCCACGTCCACGTCCACGTCCACCTCCACGTCCACGTCCACGTCCACGTCCACGTCCACGACCACGTCCACGTCCACGTCCATGTCCACGTCCACGACCACGTCCACGTCCACGTCCATGTCCACGTCCACGTCCACGTCCACGTCCACGTCCACGTCCATGTCCACGTTCACGTCCATGTCCACGTTCACGACCATGTCCACGTTCACGTCCATGTCCACGTTCACGTGCATGTCCACGTTCACGTCCACGTCCACGTTCACGTCCACGTCCACGTCCACGTCCACGTCCACGTCCAGGTCCACGTCCACGTCCACGTCCACGTCCACGTCCACGTCCACGTCCAGGTCCACGTCCACGTCCACGTCCACGTCCACGTCCACGTCCACGTCCACGTCCATGTCCACGTCCACGTCCACGTCCATGTCCATGTCCACGTCCACGTCCACGACCACGTCCACGTCCACGTCCACGTCCACGTCCACGTCCATGTCCACGTCCACGTCCACGTCCACGTCCACGACCACGTCCACGTCCACGTCCACGACCACGTCCACGTCCACGTCCACGTCCACGTCCACGTCCATGTCCACGTTCACGTCCATGTCCACGTTCACGACCATGTCCACGTCCACGTCCACGTCCACGTCCATGTCCACGTCCACGTCCACGTCCACTTCCACGTCCACGTCCAGGTCCACGTCCACGTCCACGTCCACGTCCACGTCCATGTCCACGTCCACTTCCACGTCCATGTCCACGTCCACGTCCATGTCTATGTCCATGTCCACTTCCACGTCCACGTCCACGTCCACGTCCACGTCCACGTCCATGTCCACGTCCACGTCCACGTCCGCGTCCACGTCCACGTCCATGTCCACGTCCACGTCCACGTCCACGTCCATGTCCACGTCCACGTCCACGTCCACGTCCACGTCCAGGTCCACGTCCACGTCCACGTCCACGTCCATGTCCACGTCCACTTCCACGTCCACGTCCACGTCCATGTCCATGTCCACGTCCACGTCCACGTCCACGTCCACGTCCAAGTCCACGTCCACGTCCACGTGGACGTCCATGACCACGTCCACGTCCACGTCCACGTCCACGTCCACCACGTCCACGTCCACGTCCACGTCCATGTCCACGTCCACGTCCACGTCCAAGTCCACGTCCACGTCCACGTGGACGTCCACGACCATGTCCACGTCCACGTCCACGTCCATGTCGACGTCCATGTCCACGTCCACGTCCACCATGTCCACGTCCACGTCCACGTCCATGTCCTCGTCCACGTCCACGTCCACGTCCACGTCCATGTCCACGACCACGTCCACGTCCACGTCGACGTCCACGTCCACGCCACGTCCACGTCCACGACCACGTCCACGTCCACGTCCACGTCCACGTCGTCCACGTCCACGTCCACGTCGACGTCCACATCCACGTCCACGTCCACGTCCACGTCCACCTCCACGTCCACGTCCACGTCCACGTCCACGTCCACGTCCACGTCCACGTCCACCTCCACGTCCAAGTCCACGTCCACGACCAGTCCACGTCCACGTCCACGTCCACCTCCACGTCCACGTCCACGTCCACGTCCACGACCACGTCCACGTCCACGTTCATGTCCACGTCCACGACTACGTCCACGTCTACGTCCATGTCCACGTCCACGTCCACGTCCACGTCCACGTTCACGTCCATGTCCACGTTCACGACCATGTCCACGTTCACGTCCATGTCCACGTTCACGTCCATGTCCACGTCCACGTCCATGTCCACGTTCACGTCCATGTCCACGTCCACGTCCACGTCCACGTCCACGTCCACGTCCATGTCCACGTCCACGTCCACGTCCACGTCCACGTCCAGGTCCACGTCCACGTCCACGTCCACGTCCACGTCCATGTCCATGTCCACGTCCACGTCCACGTCCACGTCCACGTCCACGTCCACGTCCATGTCCATGTCCACGTCCACGTCCACGTCCACGTCCACGTCCACGTCCATGTCCACGTCCACGTCCACGTCCACGTCCACGTCCACGTCCAGGTCCATGTCCACGTCCACGTCCACGTCCACGTCCACGTCCACGTCCACCACGTCCACGTCCACGTCCACGTCCACGTCCACCTCCAAGTCCACGTCCTCGTCCACGTCGACGTCCACGACCACGTCCACGTCCACGTCCACGTCCATGTCCACGTCCATGTCCACGTCCACGTCCATGTCCACCTCCACGTCCACGTCCACGTCCACGTCCACGTCCACAACCATGTCCACGTCCACGCCCACGTCCATGTCCACGTCCACGTCCATGTCCACGTCCACGTCCATGTCCATGTCCACGTCCACATCCACGTCCACTTCCACGTCCATGTCCACGTCCATGTCCATGTCCACGTCCATGTCCACGTCCATGTCCACGTCCACGTCCACGTGGACGTCCACGACCACGTCCACGTCCACGTCCACGTCCATGTCCACGTCCATGTCCACGTCCACGTCCACCACGTCCACATCCATGTCCTCGTCCACGTCCACGTCCACGTCCACCTCCACGTCCAAGTCCACGTCCACGACCAGTCCACGTCCACGTCCACGTCCACCTCCACGTCCACGTCCACGTCCACGACCACGTCCACGTCCACGTCCACGTCCATGTCCACGTCCACGACCACGTCCACGTCCACGTCCATGTCCACGTCCACGTCCACGTCCATGTCCACGTTCACGACCATGTCCACGTTCACGTCCATGTCCACGTTCACGTCCATGTCCACGTTCACGTCCATGTCCACGTTCACGTCCATGTCCACGTTCACGTCCACGTCCACGTCCACGTCCACCACGTCCACGTCCACGTCCACGTCCACGTCCAAGTCCACGTCCACGTCCACGTCCACGTCCACGACCACGTCCACGTCCACGTCCACGTCCACGTCCATGTCCACGTCCACGTCCACGTCCACGTCCATGTCCATGTCCACGTCCACGTCCACGTCCACGTCCAAGTCCACATCCACATCCACGTGGACGTCCACGACCACGTCCACGTCCACGTCCACGTCCACGTCCATGTCCACGTCCATGTCCACGTCCACGTCCACCACGTACACGTCCACGTCCATGTCCTCGTCCACGTCCACGTCCACGTCCACGTCCATGTCCACGACCACGTCCACGTCCACGTCCACGTCCACGCCACGTCCACGTCCACGTCCACGTCCACGACCACGTCCACGTCCACGTCCACGTCCACGTCGTCCACGTCCACGTCCACGTCCACGTCCACGTCCACGTCCATGTCCACCTCCACGTCCACGTCCACGTCCACCTCCACGTCCAAGTCCACGTCCACGACCAGTCCACGTCCACGTCCACGTCCACCTCCACGTCCACGTCCACGTCCACGTCCACGTCCACGACCACGTCCACGTCCATGTCCACGTCCACGACCACGTCCACGTCCACGTCCATGTCCACGTCCACGTCCACGTCCACGTCCACCTCCATGTCCACGTTCACGTCCATGTCCACGTTCACGACCATGTCCACGTTCACGACCATGTCCACGTTCACGACCATGTCCACGTTCACGTGCATGTCCACGTTCACGTCCATGTCCACGTTCACGTCCACGTCCACGTCCACATCCACGTCCACGTCCACGTCCAGGTCCACGTCCACGTCCACGTCCACGTCCACGTCCACGTCCACGTCGAGGTCCACGTCCACGTCCACGTCCACGTCCACGTCCATGTCCACGTCCACTTCCACGTCCACGTCCATGTCCACGTCCACGTCCACGTCCATGTCCATGTCCACGTCCACGTCCACGACCACGTCCACGTCCACGTCCACGTCCACGTCCACGTCCACGTCCATGTCCACGTCCACGTCCACGTCCACGTCCACGACCACGTCCACGTCCACGTCCACGACCACGTCCACGTCCACGTCCACGTCCACGTCCACGTCCACGTCCATGTCCACGTTCACGTCCAGGTCCATGTCCACGTCCACGTCCATGTCCACGTCCACGTCCATGTCCACGTTCACGTCCACGTCCACGTCCACGTCCACGTCCATGTCCACGTCCACGTCCACGTCCACGTCCACGTCCATGTCCACGTCCACGTCCACGTCCACGTCCACGTCCAGGTCCAAGTCCACGTCCACGTCCACGTCCATGTTCACGTCCACTTCCACGTCCACGTCCACGTCCATGTCCATGTCCACGTCCACGTCCACGTCCACGTCCACGTCCAAGTCCACGTCCACGTGGACGTCCACGACCACGTCCACGTCCACGTCCACGTCCACGTCCACCACGTCCACGTCCACGTCCACGTCCATGTCCACGTCCACGTCCACGTCCAAGTCCACGTCCACGTCCACGTGGACGTCCACGACCATGTCCACGTCCACGTCCACGTCCATGTCGACGTCCATGTCCACGTCCACGTCCACCACGTCCACGTCCACGTCCACGTCCATGTCCTCGTCCACGTCCACGTCCACGTCCACGTCCACGTCCATGTCCACGACCACGTCCACGTCCACGTCCACGTCCACGTCCACGCCACGTCCACGTCCACGACCACGTCCACGTCCACGTCCACGTCCACGTCGTCCACGTCCACGTCCACGTCGACGTCCACGTCCACGTCCACGTCCATGTCCACGTCCACGTCCACGTCCACGTCCAAGTCCACGTCCACGTGGACGTCCACGACCACGTCCACGTCCACGTCCAGGTCCACGTCCACGTCCACGTCCACGTCCATGTCCATGTCCACGTCCACGTCCACGTCCACGTCCAAGTCCACGTCCACGTCCACGTGGACGTCCACGACCACGTCCACGTCCACGTCCACGTCCACGTCCACGTCCACGTCCACGACCACGTCCACGTCCACGTCCACGTCCACGTCCACGACCACGTCCACGTCCACGTCCACGTCCACGTCCACGTCCACGTCCATGTCCACGTTTACGTCCATGTCCACGTTCACGACCATGTCCACGTCCACGTCCACGTCCACGTCCACGTCCACGTCCAGGTCCACGTCCACGTCCACGTCCACGTCCACGTCCATGTCCACGTCCACGTCCACGTCCACGTCCACGTCCACGTCCATGTCCATGTCCACGTCCACGTCCACGTCCACGTCCACGTCCACGTCCACGTCCATGTCCACGTCCACGTCCACGTCCACGTCCACGTCCATGTCCACGTCCACGTCCACGTCCACGTCCATGTCCACGTCCACGTCCACGTCCACGTCCACGTCCACGTCCATGTCCACGTCCACGTCCACGTCCACGTCCACGTCCACGTCCATGTCCACGTCCACGTCACGTCCACGTCCACGTCCACGTCCACGTCCATGTCCATGTCCACGTCCACGTCCACGTCCACGTCCACGTCCACGTCCATGTCCACGTCCACGTCCACGTCCACGTCCAAGTCCACGTCCACGTCCACGTGGACGTCCACGACCACGTCCACGTCCACGTCCACGTCCATGTCCACGTCCATGTCCACGTCCACGTCCACCACGTCCACGTCCATGTCCTCGTCCACGTCCACGTCCACGTCCACGTCCACCTCCACGTCCAAGTCCACGTCCACGACCAGTCCACGTCCACGTCCACGTCCACGTCCACCTCCACGTCCACGTCCACGTCCACGACCACGTCCACGTCCATGTCCACGTCCACGACCACGTCCACGTCCACGTCCATGTCCACGTCCACGTCCACGTCCATGTCCACGTTCACGTCCACGTCCACGTTCACGTCCATGTCCACGTTCACGACCATGTCCACGTTCACGTCCATGTCCACGTTCACGTCCATGTCCACGTTCACGTCCATGTCCACGTTCACGTCCATGTCCACGTTCACGTCCACGTCCACGTCCACGTCCACGTCCACCACGTCCACGTCCACGTCCACGTCCAAGTCCACGTCCACGTCCACGTGGACGTCCACGACCACGTCCACGTCCACGTCCACGTCCATGTCCACGTCCACGTCCAAGTCCACGTCCACGTCCATGTCCATGTCCACGTCCACGTCCACGTCCAAGTCCACGTCCACGTCCACGTGGACGTCCACGACCACGTCCACGTCCACGTCCACGTCCACGTCCATGTCCACGTCCATGTCCACGTCCACGTCCACTACGTCCACGTCCACGTCCATGTCCTCGTCCACGTCCACGTCCACGTCCACGTCCACGTCCATGTCCACGACCACGTCCACGTCCACGTCCACGTCCACGCCACGTCCACGTCCACGACCACGTCCACGACCACGTCCACGTCTACGTCCACGTCGTCCACGTCCACGTCCACGTCCACGTCCACGTCCATGTCCACGTCCATGTCCACGTCCACCTCCACGTCCACGTCCACGTCCACCTCCACGTCCAAGTCCACGTCCACGACCAGTCCACGTCCACGTCCACGTCCACCTCCACGTCCACGTCCACGTCCACGTCCACGTCCACGACCACGTCCACGTCCACGTCCATGTCCACGTCCACGACCACGTCCACGTCCACGTCCATGTCCACGTCCACGTCCACGTCCACGTCCACGTCCACGTCCACGTCCATGTCCACGTTCACGTCCATGTCCACGTTCACGACCATGTCCACGTTCACGTCCATGTCCACGTTCACGTGCATGTCCACGTTCACGTCCACGTCCACGTTCACGTCCACGTCCACGTCCACGTCCACGTCCACGTCCACGTCCAGGTCCACGTTCACGTCCACGTCCACGTCCATGTCGACGTCGACGTCCACGTCCACGTCCACGTCCACGTCCATGTCCACGTCCACGTCCACGTCCATGTCCATGTCCACGTCCACGTCCACGTCCGCGTCCACGTCCACGTCCACGTCCAGGTCCACGTCCACGTCCACGTCCACGTCCATGTCCACGTCCACTTCCACGTCCACGTCCACGTCCATGTCCATGTCCACGTCCACGTCCACGTCCACGTCCACGTCCAAGTCCACGTCCACGTCCACGTGGACGTCCATGACCACGTCCACGTCCACGTCCACGTCCACCACGTCCACGTCCACGTCCACGTCCATGTCCACGTCCACGTCCACGTCCAAGTCCACGTCCACGTCCACGTGGACGTCCACGACCATGTCCACGTCCACGTCCACGTCCATGTCGACGTCCATGTCCACGTCCACGTCCACCATGTCCACGTCCACGTCCACGTCCATGTCCTCGTCCACGTCCACGTCCACGTCCATGTCCACGACCACGTCCACGTCCACGTCGACGTCCACGTCCACGCCACGTCCACGTCCACGACCACGTCCACGTCCACGTCCACGTCGTCCACGTCCACGTCCACGTCGACGTCCACGTCCACGTCCACGTCCACGTCCACGTCCACCTCCACGTCCACGTCCACGTCCACGTCCACGTCCACGTCCACCTCCACGTCCACGTCCACGTCCACCTCCACGTCCAAGTCCACGTCCACGACCAGTCCACGTCCACGTCCACGTCCACCTCCACGTCCACGTCCACGTCCACGTCCACGACCACGTCCACGTCCACGTTCATGTCCACGTCCACGACTACGTCCACGTCTACGTCCATGTCCACGTCCACGTCCACGTCCACGTCCACGTCCACGTTCACGTCCATGTCCACGTTCACGACCATGTCCACGTTCACGTCCATGTCCACGTTCACGTCCATGTCCACGTCCACGTCCATGTCCACGTTCACGTCCATGTCCACGTCCACGTCCACGTCCACGTCCACGTCCACGTCCATGTCCACGTCCACGTCCACGTCCACGTCCACGTCCACGTCCAGGTCCACGTCCACGTCCACGTCCACGTCCACGTCCACGTCCATGTCCATGTCCACGTCCACGTCCACGTCCACGTCCACGTCCACGTCCACGTCCATGTCCATGTCCACGTCCACGTCCACGTCCACGTCCACGTCCACGTCCATGTCCACGTCCACGTCCACGTCCACGTCCACGTCCACGTCCACGTCCAGGTCCATGTCCACGTCCACGTCCACGTCCACGTCCACGTCCACCACGTCCACGTCCACGTCCACGTCCACGTCCACGTCCACCTCCAAGTCCACGTCCTCGTCCACGTCGACGTCCACGACCACGTCCACGTCCACGTCCACGTCCACGTCCATGTCCACGTCCATGTCCACGTCCACGTCCATGTCCACCTCCACGTCCACGTCCACGTCCACGTCCACGTCCACAACCATGTCCACGTCCACGCCCACGTCCATGTCCACGTCCACGTCCATGTCCACGTCCACGTCCATGTCCATGTCCACGTCCACATCCACGTCCACTTCCACGTCCATGTGCACGTCCATGTCCATGTCCACGTCCATGTCCACGTCCATGTCCACGTCCACGTCCACGTGGACGTCCACGACCACGTCCACGTCCACGTCCACGTCCATGTCCACGTCCATGTCCACGTCCACGTCCACCACGTCCACATCCATGTCCTCGTCCACGTCCACGTCCACGTCCACGTCCACCTCCACGTCCAAGTCCACGTCCACGACCAGTCCACGTCCACGTCCACGTCCACGTCCACCTCCACGTCCACGTCCACGTCCACGACCACGTCCACGTCCACGTCCACGTCCATGTCCACGTCCACGACCACGTCCACGTCCACGTCCATGTCCACGTCCACGTCCACGTCCATGTCCACGTTCACGACCATGTCCACGTTCACGTCCATGTCCACGTTCACGTCCATGTCCACGTTCACGTCCATGTCCACGTTCACGTCCATGTCCACGTTCACGTCCACGTCTACGTCCACGTCCACCACGTCCACGTCCACGTCCACGTCCACGTCCAAGTCCACGTCCACGTCCACGTCCACGTCCACGACCACGTCCACGTCCACGTCCACGTCCACGTCCATGTCCACGTCCACGTCCACGTCCACGTCCATGTCCATGTCCACGTCCACGTCCACGTCCACGTCCAAGTCCACATCCACATCCACGTGGACGTCCACGACCACGTCCACGTCCACGTCCACGTCCACGTCCACGTCCATGTCCACGTCCATGTCCACGTCCACGTCCACCACGTACACGTCCACGTCCATGTCCTCGTCCACGTCCACGTCCACGTCCACGTCCACGTCCATGTCCACGACCACGTCCACGTCCACGTCCACGTCCACGCCACGTCCACGTCCACGTCCACGTCCACGACCACGTCCACGTCCACGTCCACGTCGTCCACGTCCACGTCCACGTCCACGTCCACGTCCACGTCCACGTCCACCTCCACGTCCACGTCCACGTCCACCTCCACGTCCAAGTCCACGTCCACGACCAGTCCACGTCCACGTCCACGTCCACCTCCACGTCCACGTCCACGTCCACGTCCACGACCACGTCCACGTCCATGTCCACGACCACGTCCACGTCCACGTCCATGTCCACGTCCACGTCCACGTCCACGTCCACGTCCACCTCCATGTCCACGTTCACGTCCATGTCCACGTTCACGACCATGTCCACGTTCACGACCATGTCCACGTTCACGACCATGTCCACGTTCACGTGCATGTCCACGTTCACGTCCATGTCCACGTTCACGTCCACGTCCACGTCCACGTCCACGTCCACGTCCACGTCCACGTCCAGGTCCACGTCCACGTCCACGTCCACGTCCACGTCCACGTCCACGTCCAGGTCCACGTCCACGTCCACGTCCACGTCCACGTCCATGTCCACGTCCACTTCCACGTCCACGTCCATGTCCACGTCCACGTCCACGTCCATGTCCATGTCCACGTCCACGTCCACGACCACGTCCACGTCCACGTCCACGTCCACGTCCACGTCCACGTCCATGTCCACGTCCACGTCCACGTCCACGTCCACGACCACGTCCACGTCCACGTCCACGTCCACGTCCACGTCCATGTCCACGTTCACGTCCAGGTCCATGTCCACGTCCACGTCCATGTCCACGTCCACGTCCATGTCCACGTTCACGTCCACGTCCACGTCCACGTCCACGTCCATGTCCACGTCCACGTCGACGTCCACGTCCACGTCCATGTCCACGTCCACGTCCACGTCCACGTCCAGGTCCAAGTCCACGTCCACGTCCACCTCCATGTTCACGTCCACTTCCACGTCCACGTCCACGTCCATGTCCATGTCCACGTCCACGTCCACGTCCACGTCCACGTCCAAGTCCACGTCCACGTCCACGTGGACGTCCACGACCACGTCCACGTCCACGTCCACGTCCACGTCCACCACGTCCACGTCCACGTCCACGTCCATGTCCACGTCCACGTCCACGTCCAAGTCCACGTCCACGTCCACGTGGACGTCCACGACCATGTCCACGTCCACGTCCACGTCCATGTCGACGTCCATGTCCACGTCCACGTCCACCACGTCCACGTCCACGTCCACGTCCACGTCCATGTCCTCGTCCACGTCCACGTCCACGTCCACGTCCACGTCTATGTCCACGACCACGTCCACGTCCACGTCCACGTCCACGTCCACGCCACGTCCACGTCCACGACCACGTCCATGTCCACGTCCACGTCGTCCACGTCCACGTCCACGTCGACGTCCACGTCCACGTCCACGTCCACGTCCACGTCCATGTCCACGTCCACGTCCACGTCCACGTCCAAGACCACGTCCACGTGGACGTCCACGACCACGTCCACGTCCACGTCCAGGTCCACGTCCACGTCCACGTCCACGTCCAGGTCCATGTTCACGTCCACGTCCACGTCCACGTCCAAGTCCACGTCCACGTCCACGTGGACGTCCACGACCACGTCCACGTCCACGTCCACGTCCACGTCCACGACCACGTCCACGTCCACGTCCACGTCCACGTCCACGTCCACGACCACGTCCACGTCCACGTCCACGTCCACGTCCATGTCCACGTTTACGTCCATGTCCACGTTCACGACCATGTCCACGTCCACGTCCACGTCCACGTCCACGTCCACGTCCACGTCCAGGTCCACGTCCACGTCCACGTCCACGTCCACGTCCACGTCCCTGTCCACGTCCACGTCCACGTCCACGTCCACGTCCACGTCCATGTCCATGTCCACGTCCACGTCCACGTCCACGTCCACGTCCACGTCCACGTCCATGTCCACGTCCACGTCCACGTCCACGTCAACGTCCATGTCCACGTCCACGTCCACGTCCACGTCCATGTCCATGTCCACGTCCACGTCCACGTCCACGTCCACGTCCATGTCCACGTCCACGTCCACGTCCACGTCCACGTCCACGTCCATGTCCACGTCCACGTCCACGTCCACGTCCACGTCCACGTCCACGTCCATGTCCATGTCCACGTCCACGTCCACGTCCACGTCCACGTCCACGTCCACGTCCATGTCCACGTCCACGTCCACGTCCACGTCCAAGTCCACGTCCACGTCCACGTGGACGTCCACGACCACGTCCACGTCCACGTCCACGTCCATGTCCACGTCCATGTCCACGTCCACGTCCACCACGTCCATGTCCATGTCCTCGTCCACGTCCACGTCCACGTCCACGTCCACCTCCACGTCCAAGTCCACGTCCACGACCAGTCCACGTCCACGTCCACGTCCACGTCCACCTCCACGTCCACGTCCACGTCCACGACCACGTCCACGTCCATGTCCACGTCCACGACCACGTCCACGTCCACGTCCATGTCCACGTCCACGTCCACGTCCACGTCCATGTCCACGTTCACGTCCACGTCCACGTTCACGTCCATGTCCACGTTCACGACCATGTCCACGTTCACGTCCATGTCTACGTTCACGTCCATGTCCACGTTCACGTCCATGTCCACGTTCACGTCCATGTCCACGTTCACGTCCACGTCCACGTCCACGTCCACCACGTCCACGTCCACGTCCACGTCCAAGTCCACGTCCACGTCCACGTGGACGTCCACGACCACGTCCACGTCCAAGTCCACGTCCATGTCCACGTCCACGTCCAAGTCCACGTCCACGTCCATGTCCATGTCCACGTCCACGTCCACGTCCAAGTCCACGTCCACGTCCACGTGGACGTCCACGACCACGTCCACGTCCACGTCCACGTCCACGTCCATGTCCACGTCCATGTCCACGTCCACGTCCACCACGTCCACGTCCACGTCCATGTCCTCGTCCACGTCCACGTCCACGTCCACGTCCACGTCCATGTCCACGACCACGTCCACGTCCACGTCCACGCCACGTCCACGTCCACGACCACGTCCACGACCACGTCCACGTCCACGTCCACGTCGTCCACGTCCACGTCCACGTCCACGTCCACGTCCATGTCCACGTCCATGTCCATGTCCACCTCCACGTCCACGTCCACGTCCACCTCCACGTCCAAGTCCACGTCCACGACCAGTCCACGTCCACGTCCACGTCCACGTCCACCTCCACGTCCACGTCCACGTCCACGTCCACGTCCACGTCCACGACCACGTCCACGTCCACGTCCATGTCCACGTCCACGACCACGTCCACGTCCACGTCCATGTCCACGTCCACGTCCACGTCCACGTCCACGTCCACGTCCATGTCCACGTTCACGTCCATGTCCACGTTCACAACCATGTCCACGTTCACGTCCATGTCCACGTTCACGTGCATGTCCACGTTCACGTCCACGTCCACGTTCACGTCCACGTCCACGTCCACGTCCACGTCCACGTCCAGGTCCACGTCCACGTCCACGTCCACGTCCACGTCCACGTCCACGTCCACGTCCACGTCCATGTCCACGTCCACGTCCACGTCCATGTCCATGTCCACGTCCACGTCCACGACCACGTCCACGTCCACGTCCACGTCCACGTCCATGTCCACCTCCACGTCCACGTCCACGACCACGTCCACGTCCACGTCCACGACCACGTCCACGTCCACGTCCACGTCCACGTCCACGTCCACGTCCACGTCCATGTCCACGTTCACGTCCATGTCCACGTTCACGACCATGTCCACGTCCACGTCCACGTCCACGTCCATGTCCACGTCCACGTCCTCGTCCACTTCCACGTCCACGTCCAGGTCCACGTCCACGTCCACGTCCACGTCCACGTCCATGTCCACGTCCACTTCCACGTCCATGTCCACGTCCACGTCCATGTCCATGTCCATGTCCACGTCCACGTCCACGTCCACGTCCACGTCCACGTCCACGTCCATGTCCACGTCCACGTCCACGTCCGCGTCCACGTCCATGTCCATGTCCACGTCCACGTCCACGTCCACGTCCATGTCCACGTCCACGTCCACGTCCACGTCCACGTCCAGGTCCACGTCCACGTCCACGTCCATGTCCACGTCCACTTCCACGTCCACGTCCACGTCCATGTCCATGTCCACGTCCACGTCCACGTCCACGTCCAAGTCCACGTCCACGTCCACAAGGACGTCCACGACCACGTCCACGTCCACGTCCACCACGTCCACGTCCACGTCCACGTCCATGTCCACGTCCACGTCCACGTCCAAGTCCACGTCCACGTCCACGTGGACGTCCACGACCATGTCCACGTCCACGTCCACGTCCATGTCGACGTCCATGTCCACGTCCACGTCCACCATGTCCACGTCCACGTCCATGTCCTCGTCCACGTCCACGTCCACGTCCACGTCCATGTCCACGACCACGTCCACGTCCACGTCGACGTCCACGCCACGTCCACGTCCACGACCACGTCCACGTCCACGTCGTCCACGTCCACGTCCACGTCGACGTCGACGTCCACGTCCACGTCCACGTCCACGTCCACCTCCACGTCCACGTCCACGTCCACGTCCACGTCCACCTCCACGTCCACGTCCACGTCCACCTCCACGTCCAAGTCCACGTCCACGACCAGTCCACGTCCACGTCCACGTCCACCTCCACGTCCACGTCCACGTCCAGGTCCACGTCCACGTCCACGTCCACGTCCATGTCCATGTCCACGTCCACGTCCACGTCCACGTCCAAGTCCACGTCCACGTCCACGTGGACGTCCACGACCACGTCCACGTCCACGTCCACGTCCACGTCCACGTCCACGACCACGTCCACGTCCACGTCCACGTCCACGTCCACGACCACGTCCACGTCCACGTCCACGTCCACGTCCACGTCCATGTCCACGTTTACGTCCATGTCCACGTTCACGACCATGTCCACGTCCACGTCCACGTCCACGTCCACGTCCAGGTCCACGTCCACGTCCACGTCCACGTCCATGTCCACGTCCACGTCCACGTCCACGTCCACGTCCACGTCCATGTCCATGTCCACGTCCACGTCCACGTCCACGTCCATGTCCACGTCCACGTCCACGTCCACGTCCACGTCCATGTCCACGTCCACGTCCACATCCATGTCCACGTCCACGTCCACGTCCACGTCCACGACCAGTCCACGTCCACGTCCACGTCCACGTCCACGTCCACGTCCATGTCCACGTCCACGTCCACGTCCACGTCCACGTCCACGTCCACGTCCACGTCCACGTCCACGTCCACGTCCACGTCCATGTCCACGTTCACGTCCATGTCCACGTTCACGTCCATGTCCACGTTCACGTCCATGTCCACGTTCACGTGCACGTCCACGTTCACGTCCACGTCCACGTCCACGTCCACGTCCAGGTCCACGTCCACGTCCAGGTCCACGTCCACGTCCACGTCCACGTCCACGTCCACGTCCACGTCCACGTCCATGTCCACGTCCACGTCCACGTCCATGTCCATGTCCACGTCCATGTCCATGTCCACGTCCACGTCCACGTCCACGTCCACGTCCACGTCCATGTCCACCTCCACGTCCACGTCCACGTCCACGACCACGTCCACGTCCACGTCCACGACCACGTCCACGTCCACGTCCACGTCCACGTCCACGTCCACGTCCATGTCCACGTTCACGTCCACGTCCACGTCCATGTCCACGTCCACGTCCTCGTCCACTTCCACGTCCACGTCCTGGTCCACGTCCACGTCCACGTCCACGTCCATGTCCATGTCCACGTCCACTTCCACGTCCATGTCCACGTCCACGTCCATGTCCATGTCCATGTCCACTTCCACGTCCACGTCCACGTCCACGTCCACGTCCATGTCCACGTCCACGTCCACGTCCGCGTCCACGTCCATGTCCATGTCCACGTCCACGTCCACGTCCACGTCCATGTCCACGTCCACGTCCACGTCCACGTCCACGTCCAGGTCCACGTCCACGTCCACGTCCATGTCCACGTCCACTTCCACGTCCACGTCCACGTCCATGTCCATGTCCACGTCCACGTCCACGTCCACGTCCACGTCCAAGTCCACGTCCACGTCCACGTGGACGTCCACGACCACGTCCACGTCCACGTCCACGTCCACGTCCACCACGTCCACGTCCACGTCCACGTCCATGTCCACGTCCACGTCCACGTCCAAGTCCACGTCCACGTCCACGTGGACGTCCACGACCATGTCCACGTCCACGTCCACGTTCATGTCGACGTCCATGTCCACGTCCACGTCCACCATGTCCACGTCCACGTCCACGTCCATGTCCTCGTCCACGTCCACGTCCACGTCCACGTCCATGTCCACGACCACGTCCACGTCCACGTCGACGTCCACGTCCACGCCACGTCCACGTCCACGACCACGTCCACGTCCACGTCGTCCACGTCCACGTCGACGTCGACGTCCACGTCCACGTCCACGTCCACGTCCACGTCCACGTCCACGTCCACGTCCACGTCCACGTCCACCTCCACGTCCACGTCCACGTCCACCTCCACGTCCAAGTCCACGTCCACGACCAGTCCACGTCCACGTCCACGTCCACCTCCACGTCCACGTCCACGTCCAGGTCCACGTCCACGTCCACGTCCACGTCCATGTCCACGTCCACGTCCACGTCCACGTCCAAGTCCACGTCCACGTCCACGTGGACGTCCACGACCACGTCCACGTCCACGTCCACGTCCACGTCCACGTCCACGACCACGTCCACGTCCACGTCCACGTCCACGTCCACGACCACGTCCACGTCCACGTCCACGTCCACGTCCACGTCCATGTCCACGTTTACGTCCATGTCCACGTTCACGACCATGTCCACGTCTACGTCCACGTCCACGTCCACGTCCAGGTCCACGTCCACGTCCACGTCCACGTCCATGTCCACGTCCACGTCCACGTCCACGTCCACGTCCACGTCCATGTCCATGTCCACGTCCACGTCCACGTCCACGTCCATGTCCACGTCCACGTCCACGTCCACGTCCACGTCCATGTCCACGTCCATGTCCACGTCCACGTCCATGTCCACGTCCACGTCCACGTCCACGTCCACGTCCACGTCCACGTCCATGTCCACGTCCACGTCCACGTCCACGTCCACGTCAATGTCCACGTCCACGTCCATGTCCACGTCCACGTCCACGTCCACGTCCATGTCCATGTCCACGTCCACGTCCACGTCCACGTCCACGTCCACGTCCACGTCCATGTCCACGTCCACGTCCACGTCCATGTCCACGTCCACGTCCACGTCCAAGTCCACGTCCACGTCCACGTGGACGTCCACGACCACGTCCACGTCCACGTCCACGTCCATGTCCACGTCCATGTCCACGTCCACGTCCACCACGTCCACGTCCATGTCCTCGTCCACGTCCACGTCCACGTCCACGTCCACCTCCACGTCCAAGTCCACGTCCACGACCAGTCCACGTCCACGTCCACGTCCACGTCCACCTCCACGTCCACGTCCACGTCCACGACCACGTCCACGTCCATGTCCACGTCCACGACCACGTCCACGTCCACGTCCATGTCCACGTCCACGTCCACGTCCACGTCCATGTCCACGTTCACGTCCACGTCCACGTTCACGTCCATGTCCACGTTCACGACCATGTCCACGTTCACGTCCATGTCCACGTTCACGTCCATGTCCACGTTCACGTCCATGTCCACGTTCACGTCCATGTCCACGTTCACGTCCACGTCCACGTCCACGTCCACCTCGTCGACGTCCACGACCACGTCCACGTCGACGTCCACGTCCACGTCCATGTCCACGTCCATGTCCACGTCCACGTCCATGTCCACCTCCACGTCCACGTCCACGTCCACGTCCACGTCCACAACCATGTCCACGTCCACGCCCACGTCCATGTCCACGTCCACGTCCATGTCCACGTCCACGTCCATGTCCATGTCCACGTCCACATCCACGTCCACTTCCACGTCCATGTCCACGTCCATGTCCATGTCCACGTCCATGTCCACGTCCATGTCCACGTCCACGTCCACGTGGACGTCCACGACCACGTCCACATCCACGTCCACGTCCATGTCCACGTCCATGTCCACGCCCACGTCCACCACGTCCACATCCATGTCCTCGTCCACGTCCACGTCCACGTCCACGTCCACCTCCACGTCCAAGTCCACGTCCACGACCAGTCCACGTCCACGTCCACGTCCACGTCCACCTCCACGTCCACGTCCACGTCCACGACCACGTCCACGTCCACGTCCACGTCCATGTCCACGTCCACGACCACGTCCACGTCCACGTCCATGTCCACGTCCACGTCCACGTCCATGTCCACGTTCACGACCATGTCCACGTTCACGTCCATGTCCACGTTCACGTCCATGTCCACGTTCACGTCCATGTCCACGTTCACGTCCATGTCCACGTTCACGTCCACGTCCACGTCCACGTCCACCACGTCCACGTCCACGTCCACGTCCACGTCCAAGTCCACGTCCACGTCCACGTCCACGTCCACGACCACGTCCACGTCCACGTCCACGTCCACGTCCATGTCCACGTCCACGTCCACGTCCACGTCCATGTCCATGTCCACGTCCACGTCCACGTCCACGTCCGAGTCCACATCCACATCCACGTGGACGTCCACGACCACGTCCACGTCCACGTCCACGTCCACGTCCATGTCCACGTCCATGTCCACGTCCACGTCCACCACGTACACGTCCACGTCCATGTCCTCGTCCACGTCCACGTCCACGTCCACGTCCACGTCCATGTCCACGACCACGTCCACGTCCACGTCCACGTCCACGCCACGTCCACGTCCACGTCCACGTCCACGACCACGTCCACGTCCACGTCCACGTCGTCCACGTCCACGTCCACGTCCACGTCCACGTCCACGTCCACGTCCACCTCCACGTCCACGTCCACGTCCACCTCCACGTCCAAGTCCACGTCCACGACCAGTCCACGTCCACGTCCACGTCCACCTCCACGTCCACGTCCACGTCCACGTCCACGTCCACGACCACGTCCACGTCCATGTCCACGTCCACGACCACGTCCACGTCCACGTCCATGTCCACGTCCACGTCCACGTCCACGTCCACGTCCACCTCCATGTCCACGTTCACGTCCATGTCCACGTTCACGACCATGTCCACGTTCACGACCATGTCCACGTTCACGACCATGTCCACGTTCACGTGCATGTCCACGTTCACGTCCATGTCCACGTTCACGTCCACGTCCACGTCCACGTCCACGTCCACGTCCACGTCCAGGTCCAGGTCCAGGTCCACGTCCACGTCCACGTCCACGTCCACGTCCACGTCCACGTCCACGTCCAGGTCCACGTCCACGTCCACGTCCACGTCCACGTCCATGTCCACGTCCACTTCCACGTCCATGTCCATGTCCACGTCCACGTCCACGTCCATGTCCATGTCCACGTCCACGTCCATGTCCACGTCCACGTCCACGTCCACGTCCACGTCCACGTCCACGTCCACGACCACGTCCACGTCCACGTCCACGTCCACGTCCACGTCCATGTCCACGTTCACGTCCAGGTCCATGTCCACGTCCACGTCCATGTCCACGTCCACGTCCATGTCCACGTTCACGTCCACGTCCACGTCCACGTCCACGTCCATGTCCACGTCCACGTCCACGTCCACGTCCACGTCCATGTCCACGTCCACGTCCACGTCCACGTCCACGTCCAGGTCCAAGTCCACGTCCACGTCCACGTCCATGTTCACGTCCACTTCCACGTCCACGTCCACGTCCATGTCCATGTCCACGTCCACGTCCACGTCCACGTCCACGTCCACGTCCACATGGACGTCCACGACCACGTCCACGTCCACGTCCACGTCCACCACGTCCACGTCCACGTCCACGTCCATGTCCACGTCCACGTCCACGTCCAAGTCCACGTCCACGTCCACGTGGACGTCCACGACCATGTCCACGTCCACGTCCACGTCCATGTCGACGTCCATGTCCACGTCCACGTCCACCACGTCCACGTCCACGTCCACGTCCATGTCCTCGTCCACGTCCACGTCCACGTCCACGTCCACGTCCATGTCCACGACCACGTCCACGTCCACGTCCACGTCCACGTCCACGCCACGTCCACGTCCACGACCACGTCCACGTCCACGTCCACGTCCACGTCCACGTCGTCCACGTCCACGTCCACGTCGACGTCCACGTCCACGTCCACGTCCACGTCCATGTCCACGTCCACGTCCACATCCACGTCCAAGTCCACGTCCACGTGGACGTCCACGACCACGTCCACGTCCACGTCCACGTCCACGTCCACGTCCACGTCCATGTCCATGTCCACGTCCACGTCCACGTCCACGTCCAAGTCCACGTCCACGTCCACGTGGACGTCCACGACCACGTCCACGTCCACGTCCACGTCCACGGTCCACGTCCACGACCACGTCCACGTCCACGTCCACGTCCACGACCACGTCCACGTCCACGTCCACGTCCACGTCCACGTCTACGTCCACGTCCACGTCCACGTCCACGTCCACGTCCACGACCACGTCCACGTCACGTCCACGACCACGTCCACGTCCACGTCCACGTCCACGTCCACGTCCACGTCCATGTCCACGTCCACGTCCACGTCCATGTCCATGTCCACGTCCACGTCCACGTCCACGTCCAAGTCCACGTCCACGTCCACGTGGACGTCACGACCCACGTCCGTCCACGTCCACGTCCACGGTCCACGTCCACGACCACGTCCACGTCCACGGACCACGTCCAGTCCACGTCCACGCCCGACGACGTCCACGTCCACGTCCCACGTCCACGTCCACGACCACGTCCACGTCCACGTCCACGTCCACGTCCACGTCCACGACCACGTCCACGTCCACGTACACGACCACGTCCACGTCCACGTCCACGTCCACGTCCACGTCCACGTCCATGCCACGTTCACGTCCAGGTCCATTGTCCACGTCCACGTCCATGTCCACGTCCACGTCCATGTCCACGTTCACGTCCACGTCCACGTCCACGTCCACGTCCCACGTCCACGTCCATGTCCACGTCCACGTTCCACGTCCACGTCCACGTCCATGTCACGTCCACGTCCACGTCCAGGTCCAAGTCCACGTCCACGTCCCAACGTCCATGTTCACGTCCACTCACGTCCCACGTCCACGTCCATGTCCATGTCCACGTCCACGTCCACGTCCACGTCCACGTCCACGTCAAGTTCCACGTCCACGTCCACGTGGACGTCCACGACCACGTCCACGTCCACGTCCACGTCCACCACGTCCACGTCCACGTCACGTCCATGTCCACGTCCACGTCCACGTCCAAGTCCACGTCCACGTCCACGTGGACGTCCACGACCATGTCCACGTCCACGTCCAGTCCATGTCGACGTCCATGTCCACGTCACGTCCACCACGTCCACGTCCGGTCCAACGCAATGTCCTCGTCCACGTCCACGTCCACGTCCACGTCCACGTCCATGTCCACGACCACGTCCACGTCCACGTCCACGTCCACGCCACGTCCACGTCCACGACCACGTCCACGTCCACGTCCACGTCCACGTCCACGTCGTCCACGTCCACGTCCACGTCGACGTCCACGTCCACGTCCACGTCCACGTCCATGTCCACGTCCACGTCCACGTCCACGTCCAAGTCCACGTCCACGTGGACGTCCACGACCACGTCCACGTCCACGTCCACGTCCACGTCCACGTCCACGTCCATGTCCATGTCCACGTCCACGTCCACAGGTCCACGTCCAAGTCCACGTCCACGTCCACGTGGACGTCCACGACCACGTCCACGTCCACGTCCACGTCCACGTCCACGTCCCACGTCCACGACCACGTCCACGTCCACGTCCACGTCCACGACCACGTCCACGTCAACGTCCACGTCCACGTCCACGTCCACGTCCATGTCCACGTTTACGTCCATGTCCACGTTCACGACCATGTCCACGTCCACGTCCACGTCCACGTCCACGTCCACGTCCACGTCCACGTCCAGGTCCACGTCCACGTCCACGTCCACGTCACGGTCCATGTCCACGTCCACGTCCACGTCCACGTCCATGTCCACGTCCACGTCCACGTCCACGTCCACGTCCACGTCCACGTCCATGTCCACGTCCACGTCCACGTCCACGTCCATGTCCACGTCCACGTCCACGTCCACGTCCATGTCCACGTCCACGTCCACGTCCACGTCCACGTCCACGTCCATGTCCACGTCCACGTCCACGTCCACGTCCACGTCCATGTCCACGTCCACGTCCACTTCCACGTCCACGTCCACGTCACGTCCATGTCCATGTCCACGTCCACGTCCACGTCCACGTCCACGTCCACGTCAGTCCATGTCCACGTCCACGTCCACGTCCACGTCCAAGTCCACGTCCACGTCCACGTGGACGTCCACGACAACGTCCACGTCCACGTCCACGTCCATGTTCCACGTCCATGTCCACGTCCACGTCCACCACGTCCACGTCCATGTCCTCGTCCACGTCCACGTCCACGTCCACGTCCACCTCCACGTCCAAGTCCACGTCCACGGACAGTCCACGTCCACGTCCACGTCCACGTCCACCTCCACGTCCACGTCCACGTCCACGACCACGTCCACGTCCATGTCCAAGTCCACGATCACGTCCACGTCCATGTCCACGCTCCACGTCCACGTCCACGTCCATGTCACGTTCACGTTCCACGTCCACGTTCACGTCCATGTCCACGTTCACGACCATGTCCACGTTCACGTCCATGTCCACGTTCACGTCCATGTCCACGTTCACGTCCATGTCCACGTTCACGTCCATGTCCACGTTCACGTCCACGTCCACGGTCCACGTCCACCACGTCCACGTCCACGTCCACGTCCAAAGTCCACGTCCACGTCCACGTGGACGTCCACGACCACGTCCACGTCCACGTCCAGTCCATGTCCACGTCCACGTCCAAGTCCAACGTCCACGTCCATGTCCATGTCCACGTCCACGTCCACGTCCAAGTCCACGTCCACGTCCACGTGGACGTCCCACGACCACGTCCACGTCCACGTCCACGTCCCATGTCCACGTCCATGTCCACGTCCACGTCCACCACGTCCACGTCCACGTCCATGTCCCGTCCACGTCCACGTCCACGTCCACGTCCACGTCCACGTCCACGTCCACGACCACGTCCACGTCCCCGTCCACGTCCATGCCACGTCCACGTCCACGACCACGTCCACGAC